CCTTATCATTTGCATTACATAATCTAGAAAGTAATGAGAGTTTCCGATAATGGGATTTTTAAGAAGTCTAAGTAATGATTCTCTAAAAATCTTTAGGTGAAAAATTTTTCTAAAAATATTGCTAAAGAATTAGAGTATATAGAATAATTTTCGATACGAAAAATCTTCATTTACTTTTCATTATTAAAAATGAACTTTTATGCAAGGCAATAGAGTCATAAATTAATTCATGTGCATCATATTATAAAAGTAAACAAAATCTCTCTGATGACAAGATTATGAGAATATTCTAGTAGTGAGGCTTACGAAATCTGTAGATGAAAAAAAAATTTTTAAATACTATCAATATATTATAATATTTATAAAAAGTTTTCAATACTATAAAATTTTTCTTTTTTCTATAAAATAATAAAAAAACTAAAAAAAAGAATTATTAACAATTAAAATAAAAAAAGAAGGAAAGGAAAATTTTACCCGATGATAAGATTCTAAGCTTGTGGAGTAGAAAGACCTAAGAAATATTTAAGTGAAAAGATATTTTTTAAATACTACTAATAAATTGGAGTATTTACAAAAAATTTTAATAAAATAAAATTTTCACTTTTCTTCAAATAAAAAAAGTAATAAAAAAACTAAAAAACAAAGAAAAAGAATTATTCATTAAAAAGCAAAAACAAAATATGGGCATTAATATTTTGTCATTTGCATTGTATGCACATAATTCTTGAAAAATAAACACAAGCCTCCAAGGATGAGATTCTTAAGATGTCCAAGTACCAAGTTTTAAGAAATTCTTATATGAAATTTTTTTTTTCAAATATTACCAATGTATTGAAATATTTTTTAAAATTCTTCGATATCAAGGTTGTAGTTTATTTTTCTCAAATAAAAAAAAATAAAAAAGCCAAAATTGTGATAAATAACATAAATTATAAAACTAGTTTTATCAAAATTCGAAGGATAATAGGCAATTAATTGGTATTGTTTTAAACAGGTACTATAGAGGTGCTAATCTTTTTTCATACATAATCGACTCCCAGACTCAAATAAAAAGGAGTTATTACTAATTTTTTTAGTTAGATACGATTGACTACATATTAAAACTTATCTTTTTAATAAATTTTAATTAATTTTAAAATTTTATTAAAAAGATAAGTTTTAATATGTAGCCAAAATTTTATTAAAAAGATAAACTTTAACCATGTATGCAATTTTACTAGTTTTTTTATTGATATACATCTAGATGACTGTAACCCTCTTCTTCTGTTTTAAGTAAATGACATAATTTTACAAAAGCTCTTCTGTCCATTCTAATATGATCTACAGACTGTTTATCACTCTCAAAGACTATTGTGTTTAAGTTTAACTCTCTAATTCATAGGTTATCATAAGATATTCCACTATAAGATAGTCTACATCATTTTCTTACGTTAATATTTAATAAAGTTACAGCAATAAAATAGAACAAATGCAACAAAATCTCCATCTGGTTCAATTGAATTATAAGCATATTGGAAGATTTTTTATAAAGAAATGACAAAGATAAACTATTTTTTATATTACTTGTGTTGTTTAATATCTCAAGATAGTAGAGTCCACCTTTTTTCTTAGCAAGTCCAATCTTTTTCTTTGAATTTTGGTCTTAAAATTCACAATAAGAGAGATAAAAAGTCACTTTGTAGTTCATATCTTTGATAAGTTTTTGTATAGATATTAGATAAATAGACAATCCAGGAACATGAAGAACATTTTTAAGAATAAATGATGGATTAATTTGAATATCTCTAAATCATGTCACTATAGTAAGTGAACCATCTACAATAATAATTTTCTTATTACTAGGACACAGGGTTTATGTACTAAACTTCTGTAAGGAATGTGTCATATGATTTATGGCTCTAGAGTCAATGATCCAAGAATTCGTAATAGGTTTAATCAAGATATTTAATCAACAAGAACTAGAAGCTTTACCTAAACTAGAGACCTTACCCAAAGAACATATTCCAGTAAGCTTTTTAGTCTGTCTAACTTTTTTTGTTCCTAAGACTTCTATAGTACTCTAATGGTTTTAGTTGTTGTTACTTCCTCAAATTGGGTAGTAGTGTTAGATTTTGCTATCTCTAGTATAGTTATTTTTCTCAAGGCTGAAACGAGTCTTGATAGTAAAAATTTAACTAGAGACGTTTCTAAGCAATGAAGGCCAAAGAAAAAAGAAAATACTAAAAGATTTAACAAGATTTGGTTATGAAGGTTGAAAATATTTTCTTCTCAAGAAAAGCCTAAAGTTTTAATACTATGTTAAGCATCCGACTTAAAACTAATTGATAGTAAATAAAGGGGTTTAACTTGAATATAAAACTATAAAATATTAAAAATTTATTAAATATGGGATAACCATGCAGATATTTCTTTAGCCCTCTCTTGTAGTATTAGGCAACAATGATGAGCATTTCACTTCTGAAAGAAGCAACTCACTTCACCACCCGTTACGTGTTGCAGAAATTTGTCTTAAAATTCACGGCACAGCTCCAATGCAATAGCTCTCGCTCTTTCAGCAGCACTAACCATTTGTTCACCAAGCCTTACTCCTGGACTATTTGCGACTTCCCCTGAAGCCCGACATGTGATGAAGAAAGGAAGAATTAGAAACCCAAAAAAAGGTATGAGAATATGACCTATGTTAATAACAATAACTTATTTAAAAACCAAGTTTAGTTTGAACCTTTCTGTTGAAATCAAATTTAAGTCTTAAAACAAAAATGAAGTGAATTCCATCAATTACACAACAAAGAAATAATATTCTTAAAAAAGGAAACATATAAGACCCAAATTAAAGATGATTCCAACATATACCAAAAGAGTTGTCTCAATTGGGGCTGTAAAGACTCCAAATGGGTTGTTTTGTCTGATACTATCAAACTGACATATATTTGATAGCTAATAATAGAACAGAACCTTAACGTTGATAATTCACCAGCCAACAGGTGGCCACTCTACTTTGTGAACTCATCTAATAATAAGCTGATGATTTTGCAACAGTCAACTTCACAAAAATTTTCAATTTAGAATCATGCTTAGCTGATTAGGGGTGGTATCAATACCTTCTATAATACAAGCATGAGCCTTTAAAGACAATATGTCATTTAATGGCAAATAGATGTTGACACAGATTCAGAAAGTAAAAACTTTTAATGTGTCTTGTGGTAATTCTCTCATTAAATCTTGGGAGCTAAAACAAGAACAATTCTACAGCAACCTAGGGTCCATTAACACAACATTTCTACTTTCTACGCAGTATTAGAAAGTAAAATGCACTGACCAAAAAAAATGCAGCAATTTAGTAGACTTTTGTAATTGCATAAACGTAAACCATGGAGCCAAAGAAATTGGGAAAAAGCAAGTACTCAGAAAGGACATTTGGAAGCCTGAGTTTCATTCGGTTACGTATCTGGCCAGCAAGGGCATCTACCAAAGCTACTCTCCCAAGCTTATTTGGAGGGGCTCCAGTCAAAATAGATTTTAGACTTTCACTCTCCGTTCGCCAAGCTGTTTCTAAAGAATTGTCAGATAAAGCACTTCCAGTTGGAGTTGAAGCTATAGAAACTGACTGACCAATTAGAGCAACCCATTGAATATCAGACGTTTTAGCTAGTCCCTGATTTAACAAGGGAGCCTGAACAGCTGCGAGGGCTTCTGAGTCTGAAGCAGCTTGATCAATTTTAGAAATAGTGCCAACAGTTCTGGTTCCTACAATCAATTAAAAACTGGCAGTAAAATTTTTATCTTTTTTTGCCTAGAAAAAGGATTAATTAGAGTGCGCAAGCACTACTGAATTCCCACCCCTCTGAATCATCTTCCTTAATCCTAAGTGCTCTAGATGAAGAAATTTCTGGCGCCTGAGCAGCAGGCACAATGATGAGAAAATAGCATCATTATGTTCAACATACTCGTGAGCTGAAGAGCAAAATAAGAGAAATTATCAGATAACTAACTAAACAAAGCATTTCAAAAGCTGGCAATGTAAATGAAGAATCAAGAAACACAATCAGAGTGTCTAGCTGTTAAAAATTAAAACCAAAGGAAAATAAAATTGAGCAACTCACCAATGAGTCATCCACAATTCTTAGCTCCAATCCAGGTAAATCAATCAATTTTAATGGTGGGGCTGAGTTATGGAAGAAGGGGAAAAACTGTTAAAAAGTTTTATAAAATTAAAAAAAAAAAAAAAAAAAAAACACACACACACACTTATATATATATATATATATATATATAAGAATGTATCTTAATGCATGGACACATGAGGGAAAAGGAGGCAAAGGGAAGGGAAGGGATGAGATCATTCATGAAATAGGATTCCCCTGTCAGAGAAGATATGAACCCCTAAATGGACATCCATAATACATCAAACCTTCTAATATTTGAGTAATTTGTTTTATGGAATGGGGTAGAATTTTATCCCTGAATCCACGGTTGCCTGTTTAAGGCCTTGCTAGGCGTCCATTAATCTTATATAAAGATTCCCAAGCTTGTAGAACACATCCAACTATCAGCTTCGTTTCTTTCTGTTTAATATTAACCAGAAAAAAATCTTTAAGAAAACAACAACAACAAGGAATAGAATTTGCATGTCCATAAGCCAAGAAATGTGTCTATTTTCCGAGACTTTGCATCATTTTGTAAATTTAAATTGAACAATTACACAAATTTAAGAAATAATTTATAAAAAGGTCAATCATTCATTTTTACTTAAAAAAATTTAAAAAATAAAGAATTTAATACTTTTAAATAATAACTTTATATTTTGTTTATATATTTATTTAAAATTTAATATTATTTTGTAATTATAATTTTAAATTAAATTAATTAATTAATCCTTGTATTGCACAAACCATAAATTAGTTTGTATCTATGAAAAAAAAAAAGCATGAGATACTACTATTTACTTCTTTATTGACACGTGGAGTTTAAGTAGCATTCCTCTATTTGTATTTGCGGCTTCAGTCCCTATCCAAGTTTTAAGCCGCAACCGAGACCCGACCCATACCTTAGATCACATCACATAACAGAAAAACCCTAGTCTAAAACCCACCGTTTCTCTTCTTGTTTGGATTTTGAAGAAGACAATTTTTTTTTTAAAGAAGAAATCTTTGTTTCTTCTCTCAAAACTCAAAACTCTCCTTTCTGCATCTCTGATTGTTGAACCATGAAGAGCAAGAATGAGAAGAAGAGAGGCTCATCGGCCCCAAAAGGAGGCCCAAAGGGAAACAAATTTTCGATCAACAATGACCCGTTTTTCGAAACGGAGAGCAAGAAGCGGCGGAAAATGGAGTACGAGGATGATGACATTGATTCAGGGGACTCTGAAGAGGAGGCAGAGATTCTGGGGGGTTCTGACGCAAGCGGGGGAGAGGAGATGGTTGAGGAGGATGAGGAGACCCCTGGTGAGATCCGAAAAAGGGTGGCAACGGAGCTTTTGGATAAGATGCGGGCAATAGCAAGAAAAGAGAAAGAAGACAAGGATGGGGATGAGGAAGATGAAGAGGAAGAGGCGAGGGATTCCTTTGTGGCTAAGATTTTACAGCAGCAGCAGCTCGAGGAGAGTGGCAGGGTTAGGCGAGTCGTTGCTTCCAGGTAAAATAAAATAAATAAATCTCACTTATGTATCGAATATCCAATTATCGTTTTAACTGGAAGCATTTAGGAGTGCTTTTGCTTTGTTATATAGCGATTCTTTTTTATTTGATGCTTACGTTGTTGAGTGTGCTCAACTCAGGCTTAAAAAAGCAGAAACTGTTGATGGGTTTAAAGTTTTAGTGAAGCATAGACAATCTGTTACTGCTGTAGCTCTCTCTGATGATGACTCGAAGGGCTTTTCGGCATCCAAAGACGGTACTATTTTACAGTGGGATGTAGAAAGTGGGAAAACTGAAAAGTATAAATGGCCTAGTGAAGATATTCTTAAAAGTCACGGGGCGAAGGATCCACGTGGTCGACTTAAAAAGCATAGTAAAAGTGTTTTTGCGTTGGCTGTTAGTTCTGATGGCCGGTATTTGGCTAGTGGAGGCATGGACCGCCATGTACATCTGTGGGATAATCGTACAAGAAAGCACGAAATGGTAATTCTGTCTTGTTTCTCAAACTTGGCAAATATGCTAGATGAAATTGTATACTTTTTTTTTTTTTTGAAAAAAAGGAATATATTGTTGTCTTAAGTGTAGGCATTAATTATTACATTTTTCAGCTGGGAAAATGAAAGTGAACTGTCAGAGTGTAAAGACATTTAACTAACATATATTGGACCTTCTTTCACTATGAAGGGCCTCTAAGTTATATGTGCCATTTGGTATTTACCTGTTATAAGATTCATGAAAGTTTATTAGCAAGTTGTTCCATTGCTTGTCTTATTTTAGTCTGTCTACTTGGCAACTTAACCTGTTCCTATTTTTCAATAGTGTGATTAAGGAAATGTACAGTTTTCTCAATTTGACCTTTAATTTTTGCACAACAGGCATTCCCAGGTCATCAAAAACCTGTATCATGTTTAAGTTTTAGGCAAGGAACTGCAGATCTTTTTTCTGGATCATTTGATCGAACCGTGAAGTATTGGAATATGGAAGAACAAACTCACATTGACACAATATGTGGTCATGAAAGTGAGGTGTTGACACTTGATTGCCTAAGGAAAGAACGAGTATTGACTGTTGGACGTGATCGGTTTATGATGTTGTTTAAGGTAAACATGATTTAGAAGTTTTAATTCATCATCAAAATAGACAATCATTGACAAAAGTAACAATGAGATGTGGAGTAATTTTTAAAGTGTACATCATGTTGGCATTAAAAGTTTCCTTGCATTTCCATTACAATCAAAATTGGTGGATATCTTTTAATGTGCACATCCTGCAGCCTCTCCTCCCTTATATTCTGAGCATTGTGTTAAACTACTAGTAGCATGTTTGGCATTTAACTGTAGGCTAGAGGGATATCAGCATATTGCTTTTCTTCTCCATATCTGATAGGCATCAGTTCTGCAACATGCTAAATAGGTTCTCGACCAGTCACGCTTGGTTTTTCGTCCTCCACCAGTATCTTTGGAATGCTGTTGCTTTATTAACAATGATGAATTCTTATCTGGCTCGGATGATGGAGGTATTGAACTTTGGAGTGTGTTAAGAAAGAAACCTGTATACATTGTGAAGAATGCTCATACTCAGCTGCCTGCCTGCCAGAATGTTGAACAAAAAGGCACTGGAAAAATCCCTGATAGCCTTCTAGGTAAATAACTAATATTTCAATTAACCATGTTTTTCCTGATTCTGATATTAGAAGTTGGAGGGTTGGCCTCTGGGGATTTGGATGACATTCTTTTAAATACTTGCTTATTGTGCATAATATATATTTATGTTAGCTTTTAATCTGACCATGAATAATGTTGAAGTAATTATTTATGATAGCATGATTGATTAAAGTTTGCTAATCCTGATTTTTTTGTGTATTAATTTCTGTTAATACTATCAATTGGTTTCTTAAAGTTATATTGCTTATGCACACAAATTTATTATATTATTGCTTGCTATCTGATGCCTGATAAAACTGAGAGGTAACCATTGGTTGGCTGCTGAGAATCTCAGTGACATTCTTTCAATTGTGCCTGTTTATGCGCAAATTATCATTTAAGTTTGCTTTTAATCTGACCATGGATAATGTGGATGTAATCATTTTATGATAATATGATTGATTGAAAATTTTTAATCCTGATTTTTTGCGAGTCGTGGTTATTGATTATGTCAATTGGTTCTTATGAAACTTCTGCTTAATTTTTGTGATTTTTTGCAATCTGATCTCTGGAAATACTAAGTGGTGTGCTCTGTCAGGCCGGGCCTAAATCTTTTCAAACCTAAGCCCAAGCCTAGCCTGCCCATAGACATACTTTTATCATTTGAATACTTAAAGATAACTTTTAAATGAATTTTTAAATATTTTTGTGTATATTAGAATTAGATTTAAATAAAATATATTATTTGTTTAATAAAATAATAACTTTGGGATAGGATCAGACTTAAAAAATCTTAGCTTAAGTCTGGCCTGAAGTGGGTTGGGTAGCCCAGCCCTTGGATACCTCTTTTATCAAGTTTTTATTCCTTAAAGATTCTTTCAGTTTTCTCTCTCAGTTTTTCTCTTTTTTTGGTTTTGCTTTTTAATATTCTCCATGTTGAAATGATGGTATGATATTGTTTTGACTCTGGAAAGGAACAACCAAGTTGGGCAGGTTTTAGATGTGATTTTAGCTTCTTTGCAATACTTGTTAGCCTTTTTTGGTTAATTTGCTTCATACCTACACTTTGCAGAAAATGGTGATCACAAAATTGAGGGCTATAATTGTTCATCAGCATATTCCTGGGTCAGTTCAATCACTGTATGTAGAGGCAGTGACCTTGCTGCATCAGGAGCTGGTAATGGTTGCGTTCGATTATGGGCCATTGAGACTGGGAGAAAAGACATACAGCCCTTATATGACATTCCATTGGTAAGTTAAAGCACCTACTCAATGCCTTAGTTAACAGTTTACTACTGTTTTTCATTGCACTTATAGGCAATTGGGTAATCCATTGTGACTGGATCTTTTGCAAAGACTAAATATAGTCACTGAAATAATTATCATTTTCATATCTTTAGTCTCCACACAAATGTATGTCCTTGGGAAATACTAGTATCTGTTGTCACATGCGACAAAACTTGTTATTTTATGTATTTTTAAGTAATATATATTGAATATAGTTGCATATTCTACAAAAAACTAAAATTAATAAAATTCATATTAACTGAAATTTGTATTAATATGTCAAATTCATTCCATGTACAAAATTTATTAGATGAATATAATTTTTTTTTTATTTTTACAGTTAATAAAAAATAATAACTCTGAAGATAATAATATCTAATATAAACTTTATTTCTTTATTTATTATTAAATAAAATCCATTTAATGAAAGTCTTATGATGGAATTGGAATTCTTACCTATAAATTAGATAAATCTTATTTATAATAAAAAAATTTAAAATGGGAAATTAGTAATATAGTGAATAACACTTTCCATTTTGGTCAGTTTAAAAGTTTCTCAACATCCATGCTTTTATATATATTTATAGATTAATTAATTTTTTGCCAAAATTTACAAAAAGAGAATGGTATTTCTTCATTGCTTTTAGCATCAAGGATTGTGCAAATAAGTCCTAAAAATTAAGGCTATGGATAGAATTTGCTTTATATGTCTTGATTAGATGCTCTACATGGTATACACACTAAGTGACTGTTAATTCCTAGCTACGGTATCCTTCCCTTATAGTGCTGGAATTGATCAATGATTAAGCTGTTCTCAAAGTATTACAATTTTGTAAAGAAAATGGTGGAATGCTATTGGAAATGTGGTCAGCTGCAGTCACTTCACTTTAACACTTATCTCATGAGGCATAGATTTAAAACAAGTTACTCTGTCAATTAAATCATTTTCCACCTAGCAGGCTATATTGTATACTGAGGTGTAAAAGCTCAACAAGTAAAAAATGGCTGAGAGAAGACACTTTTGGAAACCTATATCACAAGAATAAGTAGCATGCTGTTGAGAAAGGTTGATAACACTGGTTAATCCCACGGAGTCTCATGTCATTTCATATTTTTCACTTTTCTTTTAGAATACTGGTGAGGTTGAGTCCTTCATATGGTTGCTTCCATATTTGACCTAACCCCTCTCTCCTTATTTCGGTTTCGGTTGCTTACCAACATCCTTTCCACAATACAGGTGGGATTTGTTAATTCCCTGGCTTTTGCGAAATCGGGACAGTTCCTAGTTGCTGGAGTTGGGCAGGTGAATATTTGTCCTTAACATGATCTGGACAAATCTATTGTATTAATGTTTTGTTTTTCTGAATTTGGTACGAGGTGTGCGAATATTGACTTGAATTTTGTCTTATACGAAGTGTATTAAAAACAAAAAACGCTTTTATAATTGCATCCTGATGTGCTGATTCTCAAGGTGGGTCCTAATAAAGAAATTATCTTTTCTATTATCTATTAATGTTCCTGGAAAGGCATCCACATAATGTTTGAAAAAAAAAAATAATTCTTTGGTGTCTATCTGCATCATCTTTCAATTAAATAATGGTTTGCTGCCTCAGTCTTATGTGTATTACATGCATACATTGAAAATTTTCCAAAATTATTTGCTTTTACATTTGTATGTTATGTACGTATATGCACAGCAGTAAGATTGGTTGCAGAGCAGTTCATGCTTAGACGGTATACCACATTTACGTTAAATTTAGAAAATTCCCTTAACAATTCTATCTCTAATGCTGGCTTATTTACCAAAACTTCAAGGATTAACAATCGTAGTGAACCAGGGATCAGTTTGAGCATGGTAAAGGTCTTTGGAACAATTATTTATTTTTTTGTGGCTTAAAAGGGGTGCTACTTCTATTACAGTATTTAAGCTGGGATACTGTGAGACTCTGATATGTATGCTTGATTTTTTTCTTTCTTGGTTGCATGTGTATGACTCTTTTTGGTTCACTGGATAGGAGATGGGGGATAGGCATGGTGGGATTCCAACTCCCATCTTGCATGTCTTCCTAAGCCATCTTTGCCATTAGGCCAAGAAGCGAAGACTGCATGCATGTGTATGTTTCTAAAATCATATGGAAAGTGTGTAATGGACTCGTCCATTATGATTTTAAACTGCATCGGTGATACTGGAACGTTCAATAGCAGATTTCCTTCATCCTTCCTTTTGGTAGTGTCATTGTCAATCTTCTTGATGCCTCCAATACCTTCACTGCAGGAACCACGCTTAGGAAGATGGGGACGCCTTCCGGCTGCACGGAATGGAGTTGCAATTCAGCCGTTGAAGCTCTTGTAAGGAGGACAAGGTTTTGTTCCTCTTCAGTTTTGACTATCATTAGCTGAGAAATTCGGTATAATCATAGTGGTTTATCTTTACAATTGAGTTTTTGTTTTGTTTCATTTTTCTCACCAAATTGGATAGTATATTGACTATTGGTTGAGTTAATCATGTATCAAGCTTAATGGCCGCTTGCAACAATTCCTCCCTGCCATTTACAACTTTTTCATTGAAAAATTTTCATTAATTAAGTGATTCCTAAAACTGAATTATCAAATTGTTCATAGGAATTAAAATAATCTAAGAATGGATTAGTAAATTTGATTTATATATATATATATATATATATATATATTTGGGGATTGGAGATGATTGGAAGAGTTGGAGATAGAAAACCGTGGTGATCTAATTATCAAATTACCAAGGTGATTTGATCATTAATAATCTTATATTACCATGTTTGTTGTAATATTATAAACCAAGAGTTAGTATTTGATTCAGTATAAATTTTTAATTCCACAAGTCGTGTTAAATCTTTTTTAATATAATGGTATGTAAGTGCTTGAAAAAGTTGTTCAAGAAAGTATTCCTGGCGAATGAGTCAGTCATTGAAGAAAGTTTCAAAATTCTCACCAATGCTTGCTCCATTCCTATCCGCCATTGATGTTAGTGTTTGTTTTGCAGAACTAGTTGAGTGAAATTATTGAAAGATTAATGCATGGAGGAAGGGGCTTTATATATGGTTTTGAAAACACCAATTACCAATTGTCATTTGATTTTGTTGGCATTTAAATAACCTTTTAAACGATAGTTCCTCTTCGTCAAAAAATTTTTTGAATTTTCTTCAGGGTTATGTATTTGGAAACCTCTGCTTTTATTCCATGCTTTGGTTGGTATTCAAGTGGTCTACTGGGAAGGGAATGACATTTACCTAATGGAAAAGGACTGGTGTTGTTGCAGTGATGGCTTCAGCTTATAAGGCAATACCAGATAGACAGACAGAAAGAGCCCAACGGTTAGCCAGCCATTCAGCCTATAAGGCAATACCAGATACGCTGTAACCAATTCTCTATAATCTCTTTCTCGTGTGAAATGTCAGTCTTATTAATGCAAACTGCAAGCACTTTGTACCTTCTTCTGCCCATGAACACGATACTACAAGAGAGGTTTTTTCCCAGGTAGTGGGCTGTGGGAACAAATATCATAGGAGAGCATGGTCTGAGAAGGACTTTGTTTACTTGTAGGTGCTGAGCTGCAGTGAAGAATAGATGAGGTTCTAAACTCTAAAATGGGCCTTAGTATTGGACTTCTTTTTTTTTTTATCTGAAGTCATATTAATGTTAATATTTTTTTATAATCATATATGTCTGGAAGAATAAATGTTTGAAGTGTTAAAATAAGCTTTTGGATGAAAAACATAAAGAGGAGTCAGTTGCTCTTTGACGAGAGTTGATTGCTTGATGTCAAAATGCATTTTATTAAGAATTTGGCCTTTGGCAGCCCAAAATTATTTTTCCTCCTGTTTGAAAATATAACTAGTGAAGTTGACAATCCATTTCGGGCATTCGATTGTTCTTCTTGAAAATTTGAAATATATGTTCGCTAGACATGGTGTTTCATCCTAGTTATAAACAAATAATATAAAAAAAAATATTGCCTAAGATTGAATAAAAAATAATAAAATTAATTGCAGATAAGAAAATAGCATGAAAACAATATAAAAAAAAGCATATAAGCCTTTTTCATTAATCAACATCATTTTTGTATTAACACATTGTTTGGTCTTATAATTATAAATATTTTACAATTGATAAACACAAATTATGGTAATCCAATTATCTGTTGAAAAGATAATCATCAATCTTGGTATAGTTTAATTTGTTAATAGCCAAATTTAAACTTTAAAAAAAAAAAGGAATCATGGTAAAAATTTAAAAAAAATCTAAAAATACAAACACCAAAAATACACCAATTGACTAATAAATAAATTTAAAATGCAAAAAAAAAAAAATCACATATCATGATTAAAAAAATTAAAAATTATAAAAATAAAAGCATAATATTAAACAAACCTTATGATTAGTAATTGGTTAATAGCTAAGTTTAAACTGCAAAAAAGGATCAAGATAAAAAATTAAAAAATGCACTCTAAAAAATACATCAATGGATTAGTAAAACAAATTGGACAATGAAAAGTTTATTGTGTTTTTCTATGTAATAAAATTATGATATATAAATTCAGAATTTGCAAGAAAAATTTAGACATTTATTATAATATATTTGAGTGTTATATATATATATATATATATATATATGTAAGGATTAATATAAATTATTAAAATGACGATATTCCTTTGGGTTTTAATATATAAAGGTAGTGATCGCCATTTTCATATAACTGTCCTTTATTGGTTTTTTAAAATTGAACGGTAGCTTCAAAAGGAAAAAAAAAAAAACACTTGAACATTTATTTACTCGATTAGCGAAAAACTGAAGCAACCATTGTATGATTTGGCTGTTCTTTCAGGGTGAATATATTGTTGGGTGTATAGCAAATTTGGCCATTCGTGTTTTTATATTATATTTGATATATGTTATGATATGAATTATTAAAATATGAACATAACATAAATTATAAAATATATTTAAATTTTAAAAATAAATACGATATATCTATTATATATTTACATGCAATATAATACAATTAATACAAGAACAATCAATCTTTTTAAATATGATACGAATAAATATAAATAACATAAATAGATACAACTAATACAAATATATACGAAAATATGACTAAAATAATAAATAATTATAAATTATCCATTATTTACAACTTATTAATTTTAATTAAGCACTAGTCAAATAAGCTTAAATACTAAATTCTTAAGACACTAAACACTAAATGTAATCAATAGCTTATGACTTATTACACATTTACATAGTGTAAATTACACTACATAAAAGTCAGAGTCTCTATCATTAATAAGTGATGTTCCACTAAAAACATTAAACTGAAACTTACATAAAAAAATAATATTAATGTTTTCAATCCATTTCATACTCCATAATATATATTTAAAATAACAAAATAATTCATAAATATCCAAGTTAATGTCTAGTAGATAGTAGATGCCATCATTAAACATCATATCCAATTTAACAAATAAGGTATACCAGCCTACTAGGTCAATCAATTCAAAATAAATAAATAAAAATAAGAATATGAATATATAATAATCATATATGTGTATATAAATATATAATATATATTTATATATATGTATATATGTATGTATGATAAAAAAAAGTTTATTCCAAAAGCTATATTTTTAATACTTTTTACTTTTTTGTTTTCTCCTATACATAATATTAATATATTGATACTAAAATTATTATTTTTTCTAATATATAAATATTACTATATATTTTCAATAATTACTTAATTAGCATGATTTATTTGCAAAAGATCTTAATGACTTATTAAAATTATTGAAAAATATCAAATTAATATATATTTCTAAAGTAAAATTAATATATTTATGCTACTTATAATCATTTTTTATACATTATAATATAATTAAAATAAATTACATATTTTAACTATCATGGGTATACTCATGTACATATAATTTATAATAAATTATATAATCTTTTATAATTATATATAGGTATCATATGATGTGATTTAGATTTTTGAATAAAGTATATAAAACAAGTCATTAAGATGAGTATATATATTACATTATAATAATACCTTATCATGTTATATAGAAATATAAATTATATAATCTCTTATCATTATAAAATGTTCTTTAAAATAAACATTTTATGTTTAATTTCTAATGTATAAACTTTTGTCATGTGATTTAGAATAAAATATTTAAAATAAATTATTGAAATGTGTATTTACAATAATAATTTATATGTTACATTTTAATAATATCATCTTATATAATGTAAAATAAATTATATAATTTTTCTCATTATGTATATGAGTATGTGTTATTTTTAATTTTAAATATATAATATCTTATTTTAACTCTTATAATTTAAAATAATTATATATCATAATTCATGTTATTAAGATATCGTATAGTTTCTTATCATTGTAAATATTATTTATTATCAGTATAATCTATTATTGTATATTTATATGATTTGAATTTGCTTTGATTGATCAATAATCATAATGTTGGATGCTACTTATTATTAATAATTAAGTGTATATTGTCTTTCTAACTTAAAAAAAAAAAAAGAGTATATTGTCTTTCTTAATTCCTTTTTTAATAAATTTGTTTTAATCTTATTATAAAAAGTTACAAAAAGCAGTATATATTTAATATGCTAAGATTTATATTTATATATATATATGTAATATATATTATTAATGTAAAAAAGTTCTTGCATATTAAAAAAATTAAAAAATTTGATACCAATTTCATATGTATTTAATATATATATTTAAATTTTAATATATGCAATACTGATACAATAATCGTAAATGTATTATATTAGTTTTTAATATCATATCAAAAATGATAAACTACTAAAGATTAAAAAATAAAAATAATGATGTATCAAACTAATATTAATATTTATATTGTATTTAAATAAATATCCCATTTTGTTCTAGATTTTTTCGGGGCAAAAATGAGCCTTCGACCATTAATTAAGCTTGATTGGGAAGCTTTGGACTGATAAGAAAAATTTTAATTTTAATTTGATTTGATTTATTTATTTTAATTTTACTTGTTTTGGAAAAAAAAGGAAGAAAATTAAAAATCTCAAAAAACGAAAACGTGGATTCAACTTGAATTTGGGAATAAATCAAATGCATGAAATCAAATAAAATCATAATCTTATATTCAATTTACTTTTCAAAATGAAAGGGATTCAATCCCTATAAATGAACAAAATCGAATAGAACATTGAAAGACTGAAAATAAGAGAGAGAACATGGGAATTTTTTTTGGTTTTGGGTTTTTATTTTTGGATTTTTGAGTTTTGGGGCTTCTGGGTATTCAATTATGTGAAATTTTTGAAATTAGGTTTGAGGTTTAATTCTTAGTGTCTTGAAAGTAGTTTTGGGATCTTGATATGATTTCTAGAAATGTTGAAATTCATTTGAATTTATGGGTTTAGCGTTCTATTTGAATCTTGGAAATTCTTGGAATTGTTGGAATTGATTATTGGATTTGAATCCCATTTTTAAAATTTGGATTGCTAGAAGTTTTTTTGAATTTATGGGTTTATGATTGAATTTGTTGAATTTTTGGATTTTTTTTGGGTTTTTGTTCATATTTATGGGTTTTGTTTGATTTTTATAATGGAAGTTTGAATTTTCAAATGGGTTTCACGATAGCCAGAGGGTTTTTATGACAACAGATTTTGGATTCACAAGGATTTTTTAAAAAACTTGAAGTTTTTGATGATCATTTGAATTTCACAACGTTGAAATTTGGGTTGATTGGCTGAAATTAGATTTTACTTGGTTCTCTGGTTAGATATCTAGAGAGAGGTTAGAGAGAATCAGATTTAGAGAGAGAGAGTTAGGCAAGTTTGAGAACAATAAAAAAATCTTGATTTTTACAGAGCATTGAAACAGTATCGTTTTGGGATTTGGCTGGACCTGTTAACCCACTTGTGACCCGTGCATCAACCCAACTCCAACCCGACCCATTTCTTAAGTTTTTCTTTTTTTTTTTTCTAATTTTTTTATATATTATTTTTTTATATTTATTATGGTTGTTTGAATTAATGTGATCAGAAAAAAATGGTTTATTTTTCTATGAATTTACTTTTTTTAGTACTTATTTTAGCATGAATTAATTTATTTGCATAATTTTTTTCACATTTATTATGTGATATATTAAATATATTTAATTGCATAATAATTAATATTATTGTATGATAGTTTATTATTATTGCATAATTTATTATCTTATTATTGCATGTTATTATTTAAAAGGATTTCAAAAAAAAGTTTTTCAATCCTATCGAATTATTGGAATTTAAAATTTGAATTAAATCTTACAAAATTATTGGAGGGTTTAATGAATTTTCATGCACAAATAATTTTTAATCTTACCAACAAATTGAGGGATAATCTTTGTTAGCCTTGAATTGATCCTTATTTTGAAATGATAAAACATTAAAGATAAATAAACTTGATCAAAATTTTGAAAAAGATTTATTTAGTACATGTTCTTAAGTTTTATATTTTGGTACTAAATAAATAATATGATTTTCAAAGTTTTAAAAAACCTTTCTTGGTTTCATATTTCTCAAACCAAATCTATCTTTAAAGATTATTTATTTGAGCTTAAATGAAAGTCCAATTGTTGTTTTTAAAGTGAATTTATTTATTTTTGACTTAATACAATTTTGATAATATTGGTTTTGAGAAAAAAATTAACTTAAGAAAGTTGTTTTACAAGAACAAAATTTTCCACTATTGAATTTATTTTATTTTTATGTATTAATTTACAAAAGTTTTAATATTTGAATTTTATATGGTTGGAAATCTCTTTGAGTTTACTTTCTAATGGATTAAACAAAATCAAAATCCAAATTTTCTAAGAAAAGATTTTGAATTTTTACTAGACACTCTGCAGTTGTAAAAAAAACTGCACAATGAGTAAATTTGAAAATTCACTATAATTCATACTCAATGAATTAGGTGATGAATTTTATATGGATAGAAATCTCTTTAAGTCTAGTTTCTAAATCTTCAAACAGTTTTGTGATTTGAATTTATATAACTCAAAATATGATCAAATTAGGGAGTAGAGTGCAAAATAGGAGACAATCACCCAACTATTGACAATATCGATCCTTTCATGGAAGGGATCAATCAGGTCGTATTTTTTAAGCATGAAATGGCATAAAACTTGAACCAATCGATCCCCTCAAGGAAATGATCAATTGGGTCTGGGTGAAATCACACCAACGGTTATTTGTTTTCATGCATTCAATGGCTACTTTCACTTTTTATATCAAATTAAACTCAAGTTAGAATAGTTCGATTTTTATATCAAATTAAGCTCAAGTTAAAAAAATAAAATTCGATCGAATTTAAATCAAATTTCGAGTCTCAAATTTTGAATCAAATTTGAACTTAAATTTATTATTATATTAATTCAAATTTGATTAATTATATCTCTGATTACCACTTATAATCATGAAACTTGTCAAATACATTCAATGGGACAACTTTCTTGTGTTTCTGTTCAATTATTTTGTGGACCATTTATATAAACGAAAAGGTTAAGAGGAACCAAATTCATGCTACGATAAAGGACAAAACTCTGGCCTTTAGATATTTATGTGTTATGCAGCAAAACTTTGTGATTAAGGAGTCATAAATGATGACGTTGAAAGTATAACAAGGCCCGTGTGGGTTTTAACGAACATGTTGCTTGTTAGATATACATAAATATTTGTGATTATCATTTTTTGAATTTTAATAACTAATTTATCACCACATTAAATGCTACTACTATTCGCTCTAATTGTAGTTATGATTTTTTTTTTTTTTTGGTTTTTCAGGTAACGTTTTCATTATTCGTGGCAAAATGTGAGTTTAGTTTTGAAATTGCACGCAAAATTTGAATATCTTAATACAATTTCTTAGATGAAAATTTTGAATGTCTTAGTCAATAATAAATTGGTAGATTAAATGCCTGTTTAAGCAAGTGGACAACAATCCTCCAGCTTTCTTGGGGCAAATATTTCCTTTTTATTACTCACAAAATTTATCTTTAAAAATTATAAAAAACTAATTTAGAGACTGTAATATAAAAAATAAATATAATTCAAATAAAAGCATATTTGATATTTCAGACTTACAAGCTTGAGGAAGAGGGAAAATTATAAAACAAAAATATAATAATAATAATAATTCAAGTGAGGAATATAAAAATAATATATATATATATATATATATATATTTTTTAGTTTCTCCAAAACATCCCGCGATTACCTTGAGCTTTTTGGTTTCCTTCTATTGCGCCCACCTTAATCCATCGGCTTGATCCAATCCGAGAAACATCCACTTTTTCTTTGAGTTTCATTTCCAATCCCTACGGTTCAGATTGCTAGGGTTTCCGCTTCGGCAGATCTTTCCCTTTTTTTTTTTTAATTCGCCGATTCCTAGGGTTTTCTCTGGTTCAGATCTGGGTTCTTTTTTGGAGGCGATTTCTCTGTTAAATTTTCGCAAAGATGTTTTGGCGTATGTCCGGATTATCCACTGCGTCTCCTGTGAGTTTCCCCTTTTCTTTCTATTTTCTTTTTATTGTTTTTTTATCTTTGCTGATGTGTTTGCCATTTCTTGTGAATTTAATTGATTGCGGTGTTTCTTGCTTGTGAAATTTTTGTTTGGCTGCTTGTAAAATGCAAGAAAAACAATAAAGTCTTGAAATATTGTGTTTCAATGTCTGGAATTGGTTAAAAGCTTTCGGTATTGGATACTCCTCATTGTTAGAATAGTTGTACAATATAGAGTATGGGTCATTTGCTCTGGAATTGTTCAAGTTCTTTGATTGTTCCTTTTAAATCAGGCGGCATTTGCTATGGGAGACAATGAGTACCCATGTTTTCTTTCCAACAAATGGGCGGTTTTTCAAATGTGAAATTCAGTGTTTGTGGCTTTGGCATCATTGTTTTCTACATTCCCACTGCCTTTATTGAGGGGGACGTTGGAGGAGAGGATTAGAGGAAAATATTTTTTTTTCCCTCTAGTTATTATATTTTAGATAGGCAAAAGGACATAAATAGTCGGATCCTCTTTTTTTTTTGGGGTAGAATGGAGAGCCAAAGACCCTTAAAGGAACAACTAAGCTAATGGAGGAGAACCAACACTCATTAAATCTGCAAGTAGGAGGGTTCTCAATCCAACCAGTGCCTGATGATGAATTTGTAATCTTGGAGCATGTGTCAAGCTTTCATTGGCCAACCAGTCAGCTATGAAATTCTTCTGTCTAGGAATATGAGACATTTTCCTGCTCCATTCTGTATTCAAGACGCTTTTGATTGCTTGGATAATGGGATAAAGAGGGTGTTGATGTGGAGCGTTCTGTTTTATTATCGTCACAGAACTTAGGCCATGTTTGATGTGTAGGATGATGGATAGGATAGGATAATAATCATCCTATACCAGGTTTGGTTTGCATCTAAAGAAAGGGATAGGATTGCAAAGAGGATTAATCATCCTTTTGGCATACGATGATTCAACCCTCCCAAAGTGGAGAGAATTATTTTTAATCCATTGGATTGAATTTACATGTCCTATTATACCCTTAAAATTATGTCAATAATTTAATTTGTATAAACTTCGAGGAAGGATAATTTTGACCAATAAATAAATTTACATGTTTTATTATACCCTTAAAATTACATGAATAATTTAATTTGTTTAAACTTTGAGGAAGGATAATTTTGACCAATAAATAAATTATCCTATGCTAATCTTGCATACATTGACACAAGATAGGATGACATTATTTAATTTAATCCTATTCATAATATCATTTAATCCTATTCTATCATAATCTTGTGCGCCAAACACATCCTCAGGAGTTTGATTCTATCTCCACTTTATCTAATGCCATATCCTTTGCAAGCTTGATTCTATGAAAGATTCCCCAAAGCTCTGCCAAATCAATCAGACAGTCACCTAAGAAGCATGTAAACCCAAGCACCCTGTTGCCCAATCCCCTCTGATTACTCCACCTGTGCTAGCTTTTCTCTCACTTTGGTTCTAGCTTCCATCAACATTAAGTTTCAAACATTCTGTTTGTGGTATGTCCCAACTAAGGATGCCTTTAGCTTTTTGATTTTGGGTATGTTGCTGTCCGAATAAATAAGCCATACGTGGATCACTTTAACAATTTTTTCCCATTTGACATGGCCTGGAACTCTTTCATTAGAAAAGACAGCCTTATTTCTCCACTTCCATAAAAGCCATATTATATTTACAAAGAGCATGGTCCAACTCCAATCATTAAACCCTTCATTTTTCCATTCTAGGAGATTAAGAGCAAAGCAGTCCAGATGGGATACTTGGTGGATCCTATGTTTTTCTATCAAGTAGGTGAGATTCTAGAGGAAAATCTTCTTAAGCTTGCATCTTCTTGTTGTTTGCAGCAAAAAGGAATTCGCATAAATTTTTGGGATTTTGGCACAGGTGCTATGCTTTTCTCTGGAGGCCTAAGATGACATTCCTGTAATAATTATTCATCTTTTAAGTATTAGGTGGGGCTGATAATTGCGTGTTACCCGTATTCTATTCCCCAATAATGCCCTATTGTGGAAGGAAATGATATTCAAGGGCCAAGGCCTTGCTTGTTGTTAGTTTACAGTAACTTGTATGTGTACTATTTTCTGCATCTGTACTCTTCAGAAAGTATGGCTTTTGTTTTTCATTTTTGACAAGTTTTGTTTTTATGATAAATGCAGGTTGAGACAATTTTAGATAAGGAAAATTTTACACTGGAGGAGCTTCTCGATGAAGATGAAATTATTCAGGAATGCAAAGCCCTTGATGGGCGGCTTATAAACTTGTACAGTTTCTAGTCTTTGCATATGCTTGCTTTTTTTGTTCTTTCATTACTTAGCACATTGAAGTGTTCTATATCATCATGTTTCAATTAGATAATATATGGGCTCTAATGTGCTTATATATGCTTTTTTACTTTAATCACCTTGCAAGGTTTTGTTATAAGTGAGACAATTTGTTAATGTTTGATCATAGGCCATGGATTTAAACGTCAAAGCCTTATGCAAAGGTTTTTGAAGCCCTCATAGAGTTTTCATTGTATAGTGGATTTGAATAATCTAAATATTTATTAACATTAAATGGGAATCTATAGAATTAAATCTACAGATACCGAGGCATACCTAGTTAATTAGACCCTGGATATTGTTGCTTCTAATCAACATAAAAGGTGTTGAAAATGTGAGGCAAAGAACAAATGTAGAAGCATGGTGAAGCATTATATACAATGATCTTAATTGTGTAGAAAGCTGAGAAAGCTACATTGGAAAAGATCAGTTCAAGATTGATGGAGATCTTTTGCTAAATTATATGAAACTTTCGGTGAAGATTCTTGGTTAAGTTTGGCCGTTGTTTATATAAGGTTGTGTTGGATCACTTTGGACAAAGCACTCTCTATATCAGTCATTATATTATGTAAGAATTGCTTTGTAGTTCTTAACAAATGCTTTGTCCATTAATAACTAGACCACAGGGTGTAATGTTACTAATATATGTCTGATAGGCACTGGCAGTATTGCTATCCAGGGAGTCATTTATCTGGAACAAAGGCTTTGAATAGATTGTGTAGTTTGGAGGGTTGTACTTTTTTGTTTGATTGCTAGTGTACCAAAGGTGTGGATAGAAGGATCTGCATTTTTGCCTTCGGTTTTTTTAGAAGATGAAGTAAACAAATTAAAGGACACAAAGGGGATGCCAAGAAAAGATGAATAATATCCTGAGCATCCTCTACTTCTAACAGTTGTCTATGAAATCATAAGTAAAAGTGTAAAACCAAGTGTCCAACAGCTTTATCATGTGTCGTACTTGGAACAGGGATCAAAGCTAGAGCTTTTTTACTACCTTTTCAAGAATGTGAATCCGTCCAAGCCTCTAACTCCTTTTCAATTAACTGGCAACAATCCTAGTTTTAGCTAACACTGCATAAGCCATGTATCAAAGTTGTCTTGCCCATAGGCGAGGCAGAAAGAGATGATGAATCGACTCAACTTCTTTCTTGCACAAAAAGTATCTATCAAGCGAGAGTGTACCTTCTTTCACATCCCTTCCCTGGCTAAGAAAGTAACGTTAGTTACTTGGGCCCCTTCAGAGGATGTTGATAGCTTGAATTATGTGTGTGTGTGTGTGGGGGGGGGGGGAGGTTGGATATTTGCTCAATTTAAGCCACACTTTGCAATTGTCTGTATGGCAATTTCTAATTCTATGTTTTTGCTTCATTATTTTTTTTCACGGTGGTATTATTTTCTCATTTGTAGCTTGCGAGAGAAGGCTCAAGTTGAACTACTTATTCAATATATTGTGGTAGAACCTCCAGAGGATGCTGAGAAGAGGCGAGCTTTCAAGTAGGTTTTAATAGTTAATAAATGGGCTTGTGCTCCCACTCCCTCGATATTAATGTGTACATGATGTGTTATGCTTGATTTGTCTGATTGTAGGTTTCCTTTTATTGCGTGTGAGATTTTTACATGTGAGGTTGATATCATACTAAAAACGTTGGTCGAAGATGAAGAAGTAAGAAGTTGACCCTTTTATTCCCCATGTTTTAGCTGTTGTAATTTTCCTTTTTTAATGTCAGTTTCTAAATCATTTGGTGCTTCCTTGTTTGTAGTTAATGAATTTGTTATTTTCCTTTTTGGATTCGAATCACTCCCATAGCACACTGCTGGCAGGATACTTCAGCAAGGTATTTTATTTTGAACTTTTGAGATATTCACATGTTTAACGTTGTAGCCCTTGTGCATTTCATTTCATTTATTAAGTTTAAAAATGTAAGGTGCTTTGAATATCTTGTTATCTGTTTCATAGTTGGTTATTTTTTCTTGCTAGGTTGTCATATGTCTGCTTTTGCGGAAGACAATGCCATTCCTGCAGTATGTTAAGGTGTGTTTAAGATTCTATGCAACTTGATTGAGGAATTTTTTGTATTTATTTGTGCTGTTAAAATGGATGATGGTTTTTTGGTGGTATTACATGGCATGTTTGAGAACATTTTTGCTTTGCTATAATACATCAGCAATACTGTATTCAAAGAAAGAAATTGAAAAAAAATTAAATATGCCTGCAAAATATGATTCAATTTTAAACAAATGGCCTTGTGATAATTAGGACTTTGTAATTTGCTTTGCCATTTGGTACATATACCTATTGAATTTGGTTGTGCCCTTGTTTTGAGGGTTAGCTTCGTCTCTGTGCTGATTTTCTTTTCTAATCTTCTTTGAGCAGTTAAAGATCTGTAAAATCTGCTGGTTGCCCCTTGTCTTCTTGGCTCTTTTTTTTTTTTTTTTTTTTAAGATGCAATAAAAGGCACTGGTGTAACTCAATAATAAAGCTTTTAGAGTCTCTCTTGACATCTCTAATTTGGCTATTTGCAGGTTCATTTTACGAGAGTTCTGGCATTATGGTAGCTCTAGATACTTCATTCTATTTTAAGCATAATTTTATGTTGATTTGTACTCATTGGTTAGGGTTGAAAAACCCTTTACCTTGTCCAACTAAAAATTAAAGAAATGAGAATTCTGACTAGAAGTGCAGACAGGATTTTTTATGTTCAAGTTTGAGCTAAATGAATTAAATTGTAGTTTGACTTTCTGTGAAAAGTTTGACTGAAACTATTGTTTATTTCTTTATGAGTGGAGACTTGGAAACTTCTACTTTAGTACATAGGATGCTGGCAGCTTTATAATTTAAAATTTGTCTTTATAGTTGAGAAACTGTACAGGATTCTTATATGATCACTTTCTGGAACTAGAATTTACTTTGTGTGATGGTAAATTGATCTGAAATTGCTCTTATTACCTGCTGGAAAATGTTGAGCGTTTACTTTCTATAGTTGTTTAAGTATTGCAGGTTGTTTCCTCTGTTGTATGTCGTAGAGTGGTGGGAAATCCATGGTTGGCCCTGAAATAGATGCATGTTTCCTCAGTGGGAAGAGGGTTTGATAGATCAGCTTGCTAATTTGGATGGCAGTGTGTCAAATTGCTTTACATGTCTGTATCTTAGTTGGACTTTAGCACTTCTCTCTGAACCTAAGTTACTCAGAACAGGAACTGGAATTTAGAACCCCACCCATCTCAAAAGGGGTTATGATGGGGGTATTCTTGCCCTTTTTTTTAAGGTGATTTGTTTAGAGTTATAAATTAATTAGGAGTTGTAGAAAATAGTGGATCATTTTAATTGGTAGTTGGCTAGCTTATTCCGTTAAGAACTTCATTTCTACGAGCAATTTCTATAGAGGCATTTAATCTTTTGATTGGATTTTTTTTTTTGGGTTTTGGAAGATTCAAAATTTCAGATTGCATTGCATTGCGTGATTCAGTACGAAATTCCTTGTGGTCAGAGTAAATTCTTGTAAAGCTATTACTGTCTTTGTTTTTTTTACCCCAACATGGCTGCAAGAAATTGCATTATGTTTTGATGTGTCTTTATATGGATATTTGTCAATATAAAAAGGACTAGGGTGTTTGATGCTTGGGGATTTTGAAGAATGCATAAGTTTTTATGGGCATTTGGAAGACTTGGTGTTATCTCCCCCCCCCCCCACCCCAAAAAAAAAAAAAAAAAGAAGAAAACTTGGTGTTGCTTACATGGTTGAATTCTTTGGAATCTGGATGAATATGATGTTTGTAATTTGAATCTGTAATACTTGTCGGATATGAAGTGCATGCTAAACTTTTCTTTCTAGAATCATCTCTGTGGCTTTGTTGCATTTTTGGATGCTTGTTTTTGCATGTAATGCTTGTTGTAGAGAATAGATCTGTTGTCTTTGAATTGGCTTTGAAGTTACCTGTATATTATTGATCTGATTTGTCGCCTTTATGATGCTGTGCAGGGTCATCAGGAAATTGTCAAGCAGCTAGTTGACCTCATTGGCATAACTTCCATAATGGAGGTTGGTGTTTGTCTATCTTTGTTGCTTTCACATATATGAACCTCTCAAAAGCTTAAGGTGTTTTTTAATCTTTCTATTCTTTGTGCTTATTTAATGAGATTATCTGTGCAGTTGGTTTGTCTACAAAGTTTTTCATGTTATCAAAATATTTTCAGTAGGATGCAATGCATAAAATAAACTTTTGATCCTAGATTGCCACCTGCTGAGAGGCTTTATGTTAGCTTATGAGAGTTATTCCTTGTTAAACAGGTTTTGATACGTCTGATTGGTGCTGATGAGCATATGTACACAAACTACATGGAGTCAATGCAATGGATAGAGGATACAGATGTATTGAAGATGATTGTGGACAAGTTCAGCTCTTCAGTAAGTGCCAACTACTTGACTAATATCAAAATTTATACTATTTGAGCAATATCAAAATTTATACCTTTTTTTACTTTGGCAAAGTGCGCTTGTTACTTGGGGCTTCTACACTTTTAGGGGTGGCATAGGTGGAGATTTTTGTTAACTTGTTGTACACTGGCTTTACCTTCTTGCCTTTGTTTTTTCTTAATTGTTTTAGCATAATATGCCTCTGATCTTGTCTAAGGATTTGAGACTCTCTATTCCTTCCACCCTTGCCCAATTGAGGAGCCCATTAAGTAGAAAATATAGTAGTCTCAATTAATGACTACTGAGCGTAGCATTTGAAGAGTGACCAATGAGAACTTTTGCTTGTCTTCTTCTACCTTAGGGCATTTGTGGCAGCACATAAACATGCATAAAAACACATAGACATGCGTGACATGCATGTTTGTGCATGTTAAATGCATACATGCACACACACAAACACACATAGAGGAGGGATTCACTTACACCTACGTAAAAGTAATTATGTTTTTGACCTTTTCATATTTTTTATATGATTTATATTTTATTAATCCAACATTTGAATTTTATGCTCTATTCACGTAGATCATCTATGGTAAATTTCAATTTAATTGAAAATGTCTAACTATTTGTTTGATAACAATAAAACTTCATTTGTTAAATATATAATGAAAAAAAATCTCGATCGATGTTATATGGATATTTGATTGATTTGAAAATTTATGTGCATGATGGGTACAAGCTGGTTGTTAAATCCAACAGTTGGTTTATTAAAATATTAATCATACATGAAGTTATAGAAGGGTGTAAAACTTAATTAGTTTTACTATAGTGTAACTTGATCTCTCCACACACACACTCGTACATATATACATAAGTAAATTTTGCAACAAGGACTCTTTGGAACCAACCCAGCACTTTTGTCTTGTCACAAAATTTTCCTTACCTTGAGAATTTCAAAAACATTGTCACTACAAGATTTCAAACAATTTCGGCATTGAATTGATTTTTGTTATTGTATCCTTTTTGGTAAATTTCCTTCTTTCCTTTACTTGGTGTTCATCATGTTTTGCTAAGATTTTTATTATCTCAATTGCTGTGTCAATTTTGTTTTAATTTATCATTTTATTACTCGATGATGCTTAATATCTTTGTACTCTTAGTGTTTTTATTTGTATTTTCATTTCATCTTTTGATTCTTTGGGACCAAACCATCACTTCAGTGGGTTTGGTTAAGTTTTCCTTACCTTGAGAATTTTCTACAATTGTGTTGCTATAAGATTTCTGACAATTTCAGACATTAGGGGAATTTTTATTACTATGTGATTTTCTATATTTGCAACAAAAAAAGAAGAAGAAAAAGTAGCTCAAAATTTCCTACTTACTCTTTTCTCTTAGTTGTTGTTTATCCTGTTTTCCTATAATTTTTTTATATTTCAACTGCCATGTCATTATTTTATCACTTTGTTACTCAATGATGCTTTCTACTTGCACAATTCTTACTTTTATTTTGGTTTTCATTTAATCTTTTGATCATCATTTCGAATGAGTCTATGTATTTTAAGATAGTCCCGGAAAAAATTTTTAGAAAAAATTTTCTTTGCAAGTGTTTTTCATTCCAAAAGAATAAAACAAATAGACACTAAATTATTATTAGTGGAATCCACCTTTGACCAGGCTCCACAGCAGCCCAATACCCCTATAAATTCTCTTTTTTTTTTTTTTTTTTTTAATCTTTTAAGAAGGTATTCTTTTTGTTTAGTGGATGCCTCCTTTCTTTCATTCCGAGAATTCAAATTCTCCTCCGTACTCTCAATTGCTTCCTTTTCCCTGTCCTCCTTACTGCTTCATCCTGCTTCCTTGGTCTTGCAGCTGGCAAGCCTTGTGGCCCACCTCTCCCCTCTGTCTGTCCTTTTTTCTTATTCCTTTCCTTATTTTCCCATCTCTTCTGTTTCTGTTCAGGCTCTCCTTTACTCCCCTTTCTCCTCTTGCCATGTATTTAGATAAGCTTCTTCTCTTGTTATGCTCTAAACTGACCTTGCATCTTCCTATTTCCCTGAAGCAGGCCTGAATGTCACTTAACTTATACATCTTTCTTTCATACCCTCAACACTCTATCACACATTTGTGACCTGATTTAATATTTGCTTTTAGACTCTTTCGGATAGGTTTTTTTTTTTTTTTGGATGATTTTTGGCATAGGGTGCCTGGGTTTGCAAGATATTAGCTGGATATGGAATTATTTTTTTTCTACTTTTGCCCCCTTATTTTCCTCTTTGTTTGGGGTATTTATAGGGAGTGTTGGTGATGGTGGATAGCCATCCTCCGGCAGAGGTTGGGCCAAAAGGTCAATCTTTGGGGACTTTCTTTTTTCTCTTTTTGAATTTTCTGTTCACATAGGGATTCTGATGTAGGATCAGCCCAAGAATAAGTTAGAAATGAAACAAATTAAAATTAGATAAAGTTAAAAGGGGTGGGTAACATGGAAGATAAAATGAATTACCCTAGATAAAAAGTGCTGTTTACCAACTTCATTTGCCAATACTTATTTGCCTTTGTCTCTTGATCCCTTCTCTTAATCAAAATGCACTTCATCTGCTGTTCTCTCGGACCTTGATTAGAATGTTGTATTTGATTCTTTGTTGCACAAGTGCTGACTCTGCCACTACTTCTTTGGTGTACCTTGATTTGAAGGCATGCTGCAGCATGCTGACTTTGCAGCATGCCGTATGATGCCCACATAGATGTTTCCTGACCTATGGAGAGTATAACTGATTTAGGATCATTAAGGGCATGTAATTAAGGTGTTACGTCAATATTGGTATTTAAATGCGGGTCAGTATTTATTGAAAAATATTCAAATTGTTTTTTTTTTTAACAGGATTCTGCTGAGGTGCATGCCAATGCAGCGGAAACCTTATGTGCGATAACACGATTTGCTCCTCCTAGTCTTGCTGCCAAAATTACAAGCCCAAAGTAGGTCTCATAATTTTCTTCTCATGTTGCTTATAGATGTGCCAAAAATGTGATCTGACTTATCAATCATTCAATTTGGTTTTCTTTTCTTTTGGTGCTGTTAAGTTTCATTGGAAGATTATTTCGTCATGCTTTGGAAGACTCAAGACCAAAATCTGTTCTGGTCAATTCCTTGTCTGTCTGCATATCTTTGTTAGATCCCAAGAGGCTAACATCGGGTGTATATCACGCATACAACCGCCAAGTCTCTCAAGGATCAATGATAGCTGCTAACCCTGAGACAATTGAAGGAATGCTGGAGAGTTTAGGTGAATTAGCTCTTCTGGTTTACTTTATCTGCATAACAAATCCAGTTGCAGACACCTTGCTCAGAATTGAAAAATGAATTAACTGAAGATGTTATAGGGGTTTTCTCTTCTTACCATATGATGTCTTATTATCATTTATCCCCCTAGAATTACTCTTTTGAAGCATTCTCAACTACTTAATGCCTATGAAAATATTTACATAAAAGGAAACCAAGAAGAGTATCGGCATCCTACTCTTGTCTGATGACCTTGGAAGTATGGAAACAGACATAGGACTCATTTATGATACATTGTGAACACAAAGACAATTTTAAAAAAAATTAGGGCATGACACAGCGGGATATGACAATAAAAGAAATATATATGTTTCATTAATTTTAAATAAAAATACAGTATGCTATAAAAAGTCTAAAATGTTATGAAATATATTGAGAAAATATTTTGTTTGATTGTATGTTATTGTTATAGTTGTATTACATGTAATTCAAATTATCTAGTCCAATTTTCAGGTGAACAATGGGTACAATTTATTGTTCTTTCACTGTCATGTGCACCCATTTCTGGCATGCCTTGACTGTCTTAATATTTTATTATTTTTTGGCTCATCTCTCTGTGTTAGATACAAATCCCATTGTGTCGTAGGCATATCTGTGTCTGACACTTATATGACACTGGTACTTTGGGGATTTCAACTTGTCTGTGCTTCGTAGCTCATGACAGATTCTTAAGCAATTGATTTCAATTAAACTTAAATGTCAATGTCATCCACCACAGGAGAACTAATAAATCTGGTTACCACGCTGCAGGTGATTTACTTAAGCTATTGGATATTTCATCTTCAGAGTCAACCTTGTTTACAACCTATGGAAAATTACAGCCACCTCTTGGGAAACATCGTTTGAAGGTATTTCTTTGTTTTTAAAATTTACCTTTGTGTATTTTGAGGATTTGAGTCTCTTTTTTTTTTTTTTTGGTTCCTGCACGGGTAAGCTATAGCTGATGGTTGAATTTCGTAATTTCTGTACTAGAATACTATTTTAATGATGCTTTTCTATGGATTATCAACTGCTCAACCAGAAAAAAGCTGATGGGATAATTTATAATTTGACATGGGATTTTCCAGATTGTAGAGTTTATTTCTGTCTTGCTGACGGTTGGTAGTGAAGCTGCGGAAAAGGAATTGATTCGACTGGGTGCTGTGCAAAGGATTTTGAACTTGTTCTTTGAGTAGGTTTAAGATTCCTGCTGTGCAATTATATAATTACTGATTAGATCCTATTTCTTATTCCCTTGGTTAACTCTGTGTGCAGGTATCCATACAACAATTTTTTGCATCACCATGTGGAGAACATAATATTATCATGTTTAGGGAGCAAAAATGTTCCACTTGTTGAACATCTTCTTCATGAATGTAAACTTTTGGGAAAGATACTTGAAGCAGAAAAGAATTGCACGTTAACTTCTGATCCAAATATGGTAGTTATCCTGTCATACTTTACTTGGATCTTCTATTCTAATGGCATTTATTTAGCATATTTTTTGTTTCATTTTTTAGTGCATGAACTTCTTATTGTTTTACTCCCCCTCCATCTATTTAAATGCTGAATTGGTGCTTGTTTTCTCCTTTGTTCAACTCTTCTGCAGCCAACAGTTAGTGCTGAAGGTAGACCGCCACCAAAGATAGGAAATATTGGACACTTGACACGTATATCTAACAAACTTGCTCAGCTTGGATATAGCAATGGTGAAATTCAGGCATATCTGCAGGTTTTAAATCTCTTGAATTTTATAATATTTGTCAGTGTTTTGTACAGTATTGCAATTTGCAACACTGAACCAAACTTGAAATATTTTTTGAATTTCTGATCGGAGTCAGAATTACAGCTTGATTTCTAACCGAATGATATCTAACATTCAATCTATCCTATGGTAAGTCTGCATTTTCATTTGGGATGTCGCATAAAAATTATCCACTATAAAAAATCGCACCTATCTTGCAACTATCAACAATGTTTAGGTTAAGAACTTTTTACAGCCAAGGACAAAGAAATGGGAATCTTAAATCAGATGATTAATTCTTTTGAGTGCATTTAAGGTATTTTTGTAATACTTGACCTTTTTCAGAGTGGACAATAACTTTTGGGCTGAGGGAGTGTGTTGAAATACACATGGTACCTCTTTGTGCTTTATCCATAAATTTAACTAATATATCCTTGTTTTAACATTTATGCTGTCATGTCTACATTTTATGATCTTTTTCTGGATGTTTGCATTTTGATCTCTGTATTTTGAGACTATTATTATGTCTGGTGTCACAGGGGGAGCTAGCCTTCTCCCATGTCATTATCTCCACTCCTATTCCCCGACTTTATACCTAGACTTCCATGTTCTAACCATTGGGATGTTGCCAGGGAAAAGTTTCTGCCCATTTCTGTTAGATGTAAAACCTTTTAGGGTTAAAATTATTTTATACTTTCAAGAGTAGTGTTTTTAATTTGTTTTTCTTTTGATAGGAAAATAGTGAATGGATTGATTGGCACACAAATGTCCTATCAAAGCGTAATGCTACAGAAAATGTTTACCAGTGGGCCTGTGGGTATGTCATCTTCCTCTGAATGTTGCTTTATTTCTCATTTATCCAGATGCTATTTGCAATTGCTGTATTTCTGGGTGAATGGAAGTTTTTGGCATGGCTAAAATTAATATTTTGCAGGGCAGAACCTTGTTAAAACTGCCCTTGCCCCAATGATTGCATCGATCCCTATCGACAGAAACCTCAAGCCTGCTAATTATTTTTATTGAGTATAGGTAGAACAGGATTATAAAATGGTAAAAGAACTTTTCTGGGATATAATCAATGAACACTAAAGGATGTGAGTGAATGCTACTTTCTTTTGAACTAGTTGGTAGCTTTGCTTGGGTGAGGCCAGAAAAGAAAATGATTTCAAATAAATTGTTTATTAGCAGCTAAAAATTGAAACACATGGAAAATGCTTGGGTGTTTCTTCAAGTTAAGTTGCTGCTGGCCTTTTTGTTTGATATAATATTTATGATTTTTTTTCTGAGTCACTTTAATATGATTCCATCAAATTTAACAGGAGGCCAACTGCACTACAAGACCGGAACAGAGATAGTGATGATGATGATTACCAAGATAGGGATTATGATGTTGCAGCCTTAGCAACTAACTTAAGCCAGGCATTTCGATATGGCATTTACGGTAACGATGATATGGATGAGGTGCCTTCTAGAACTTTCTCACTATTTCAACTATATTTTAGTTGTGCTCATAAGAAAAAAGAAGAAAATGATATTTCTAAAATAAGCAATTATTGCACATTTTAAAGGGATGTGTTGGATATTGCAACTGACAAGACCTCATTTGCGAAATTTATAGTTATGCAAGAAATGTTGATGTGTTGTTATATTAAAACAACATTCAATACTATTCGATATGCTTCGTTGACTTGTTCTTGATTCTGCCTTAACATTTAGCCTTAAAAAAGGTATCTTGATGATTTTTGTAAAGTTGTTGGTGCAGTTATAGTGGTTTTCCTTACTATTCTCATGTTGGTTACTTTATCTGCAACATCTCTTTGTTATGTTTGCCGAATCAAACTTGTTAGTTCTTTTACTATACTGTCTTTGGTTTTTACTTATCTGTATATCTTAAATCTTACCAGTTTAGATATGTTTTTATTTCATTATTTTTCTTTATCTATTCATTCTGTTGTTAAATTAGTAGACACTCCGATTTAAAATGTGGAGCTGTTGTTTATTCATTTGCTGTATCTTGTTCTTTTGTTTTAGGTACATGGCTCACTTGAGCGTGATGACGAGGTATACATTATGTGTTATGATCTCATATGTAAAGTCAATAGCTGGACATTTGGTCTTTTGAATAATACTGTAGGAAAAAGTTTGCTAAAACTTATTCTGAGGACTCTTCCTCTCTGTGATTTTTCGCACTCTTTTTAGTGTGAAATTGTAAGTTCTTTCTATTAATTTTACACTCCGTTATTTTATGGTCTTCAAAAAATGATGTCGATCTTTTATCATCAAGAACAACACCCCTCTGCCTGGCTTTTGTATTTTTTTTGTTGTTTCTTTTCCTTTATAGCTTTTGAAATTGTGGCTTGGCTGCCCCCCTCTTTGGGTGAAGAGAGTTTTTTGAATAATTGAAAATGTCTACCGCTGTTGTATTTTTCAGGATGTTTACTTTGATGATGAATCTGCTGAGGTTGTAATATCTTCTCTGCGCCTAGGAGACGACCAAGAAAGGTAGGTTGAAATCTTCATTTGAATTAACTGGTGGGAATTAGAATTGCCACTTTGATAGCCATGTTGAATTTTTTAGTTTTATGTAAACTCAATTGCTTGACCTAATTGGTGGGACATTTTCTTTGTTGTCGGCAGTGGTTCTCTTTTTACAAATTCCAACTGGTTTGCTTTTGAAGATGATAGAGTTTCCAATGAACGTTCAACTGATGCTCTGGCTTCTGCATCACCTACTACTGAGGGAGCTGGTGTTGTAAATGGTGATGGTGAAGATGATGAGGTTGTTGTTGGTGAAGATGATGACGTAGATGATACTGCAACATCTTCTCAGGTGCCTGATGCAAAATTAGAAGATAACTCTGCTGACCTGTCTGAAGACTCTAAAGAAGCTGGACCCAGTGCAAATGATAAACCACCTGCGTGGGTTGAATGGAGAGAGACCCCAGATTCCAATGAAGCATCTGGTTCTGCTGAATCTGCTATCGTCCCAACTGGTGATCATGACGCAGATGATACTATTGAACCCTCTCCATCTTCCTCTGACAATACAAGTGATACCGCCCTGGAGTCTCAATCAACAAAGCAAAACCTTGGTTCAAAACCCCCTGAGCCATCGGAGTCTGGTAATGGGAATTCAAGTCCACTTATTGCTGAGGATAAGACAGCTTCAGGAGCAGAGTCTACCCCTGAGATTACCAAAGATGTTGCAGATGCGGCCAAGGAAACAGAGAAATAATGCAAATTATGAAGAATTGGTTTAGTTGAGCTTTATCTCATTCTGTTGGCGACATTGATATGATGGGGGGGGGGGGGGGGATGGACAGGGCACTGCTCGGTTGACAAGGGTGTTGCTGTTTTCACTCAGCCTAATTGGGCAATGTTGTTGATCGGAGTTAATGATTCTTTTCCCCCACCCATGCAAAGTTTCTCTGATGTCCAATTTGAGAGCAGATTCTAAGCTGCGGACTTGTGTAGCAAGTAATTCAACATTTAATCTGTTGTTCTAGGTACTGCTAGTGATTCATGAAATGTTAGGCAGGCAGGCAGGGAGGCACGTGGTTTAGTGCAAGAAGGGTGTTCACATGACATAATTGTCCATTTCCGATGAATGTCAAAAGTATTGATTTGCAATGCCATATTTAGTCTCTTAACACCAGTCTATGATTCTTCTCCTAGTCTTTTCTTTTGTGTTCGGATAGTTGTTAAATTGATATAAATTGGAGAGGAGAGTTGCCTTTAAGGAACTCTTCTTTTGTTCTATCTGATAGCCGACCATCTCTCATTTCGTCGCCTTTCCTTTCATCATTTTCCTTACTGATCACCACATCTTGGAGGATAACGGACTCTGCGGTAACCCATTTTTATGAGTTTTTCTTCAAACACCGCGAAAAACAAAATGCTAGGTCGGTTGTACGGAGACCTCCCTCCGCCGTCCGATGAAGAAAACAAACCCAGCAGTAACTAGACCTTATGGTCAAGCAGCACAAAGATGGCACCTCCTGCCCCCCGCAAGCCTTTCTCGGGCTTAGCCCCGCCACTGACTATCCTCAGATCCCAAAGCAAACACAAAAACCCAATTCCCAAAACCACCCCTTCTGTCTCTGCCTTTGCTACGGCAGCCTGCACTGATGGGCGTCACTTCCACTGTAATGGAAGAGTATGACCCAGCCAGGGCCAATGACAGGACTATCGGAAGGAGAAGAGAAAGGTTATGGAGGAGGAGATGAGGAGGGAATTGAAGAGGAGGAGATAAGAGAGGGAGAGGGAGAGGGAGAGAGAAGAGAGGGAAAGGGAAAGAGAAAGAGATTACAATGATTCAAAGTTGAATATTTCAGTTGAGGAAGCTTGGAGAAGACGTGCAACAATAAGTGGCGGAGTGCCAAGGTCCCTCTCACTGCCGGGGAAATCTGATGGATTCAGTATTGGAAAGTAGGAGACAAGTGGACTAGGCGTTGGAGCAGGTGGGCAGATGACTGCTGCCCAAAGGATGATAGCCAAAATGGGTTGGAAGGAAGGGCAGGGTCTTGGCCGGCAGGAGCAGGGGATTACTACTCCATTAACGGTAAAGAAGACCGACCGGAGAGCTGGTGTTATTGTGAATGCCAGTGAGACTAGTAAACCTGATAAGAAGGTCAAGAGTTTCAGTTTCAATGGACCCGTACTCGTGTTTTGCTGCTTAGGAAACATGGACATGGTATGCCCGATTGCTCATCCTTTTTATCTTTGTTTTAGATAGCATTTCTGATTGCAATTTAAAATTCACTGCTCAAAGGGTTCCTTCTTGCATATCCTACTTATTTTGTGTAGGTCTTGAACTCTTAATGCTTTGCGATACTTGCTGTTACTGATGGTTTTCTTTGATTGTAGCGACTGGACTCGTAAATTTCTCTAGGCTGTTTCTTAGCTTATCTGGGTTCTGTGCTCTCTGTATCTTGTCTAAGTTGCAAACAATTTTGACAGTCCGGATCATTAGTTGCTTGGATGAAACTTCACATAACGCATATAAAGGAATGGATTTAGTTGGCAAACATTGAATGCTTAATTATCTTTATGACAAAGTAATAAAAGAATATACAAATTTTTTATGTACATACCAGTCACCATGAAAAACATTATAACGAGGAATATATGGATGCTTGACAGACTCTGGCGATATGCAACATGAGTTCAACATGAAATTTATAAAGCCTTTTGCATGTCAAATCAAATTTAAGTACTCAAAGAAGTTGATTTTGGTTGGTTGGATGGTGTTGCTTGTTCTACGACAAAACTGGTGAACATAGTGCTTCACTAGTCTAAAATTTTCTATGCTATTGTACTGATTTTCTATATGGTGCAAAGGTAGAATTATTTAGATGGCAACCATATGTCTTTTGGTTTTGGTCTTGGGAGTTGATAACATACAAACAAAAGTAAGGTCTTGAGGGATAAGGCTGTTTTCATATCACCTTTCTTCAAGGCCTTCTTCAGTAGGACTAGCTTCTGGGCTTCTTGCAGAAAAAAATTCTACGGTTAATGTTAATTGAAGAATTTAATCTCACTAAACACATGTTCTCAGGCTAGTTTGAAACATTTGGGGGCATGTTGGATATATTAGTCTAGATGCTCTTATAGTACAGGAACTTTCCCTAAACTTATTAAAGGAAACTTTTAATCTGGTTATTTTAGGATCTAAACTATAAAAATTGAACAAATTCGGGAAAGTTGGCAACAAAATGTGTTAGATCCATTAAATTTCACCATGTAGCCTTAAAAGTGATAGGTGGCACATGACATGTCAATCAACTAGATCACATCTCCTTGAATTTTTTTTTTTAATTTTTCTTTCTTTTCTTTTCTATGGTTTTGGGAAATTTATTTTTTAGCCATTATATCATTTGATATAGTAAGTCCAAATGCTTGATTTTTTTTTTTTTTTGTTATGAGAACATTCGATTTTCTAACATATGCTCCTCCAGACGCTTCTAAAGCCAAACTTTGAGTCCCATTCAAGTGACATGCATTATCGCTTTTGCATGAGTCCATTACATCCGCACAGTCATGTTGCTTTTCTTTGCTCTTCTTCCATTTTCTTATCTTATCTTTTTTTTTATTTTTTTTTTATTTTTATGAATCAAATAGGTGAATTTCCTGCTTAGAAATAATTTATCATGAAATTAACTAATGCCCTTAAAATACTCCTTTGATTAATCAAGCATACCACAGGTTTTTCTTTGTATATGGGCCAATGTGTTTGATCTTGAAGTTTGGACTCCAAAACGGCAGTTTAGAGAAGTTGAAGGCTGAAAAATGAAAAGGAAAGTTGTGGCTATGGTGGGAAAGTGCAAGAATAAGGAAGATAGAGAGATAAAGTACATTCTGGGGAAAGAAAGGGAAGAGAAAGAAGTAAAATAAAAAGTAAAATAAAAAGGAAAATAAGAAAAAAAAATTAAATATTTTAATCAATTTCCTGCCTTTGTTCAACTTTAAAAGTTTGGATCTTGAAATGACCAAATCAAAAGTTAATGTTTTGAAATGGACATTGGGGTAAAGACGCAAAGTTCATGCTGTTAAACAAGCATTTAGCCGGAAAAAGTGTTAATCTGCAAAATTACATTTTGTTATTTGTTGGTTGGTACTAATAACAAGCATTATCCTTTCCCTTGTAAGCTAGACCTTAATGACAGCATAAGGCTTGTGATATCATTGGGTTATCCTCTGGCCTATATGATTATTATTTGTTTTTCTTTGCCTGTATTTATTTACATTGAAATTATAATGGTTATATCCTTAACTAGTAAAGCATGATGAATGGGAAAGATGAGTGGCACTAAAAATGACTGGAAACAATGACTTCAGTCTCATGGATGTATTTGGCAACAGTTGAGCAGATTGGTAAAAATGGTTGGGGATCTTCACGTCCTTCACCTCTTTATTGCACATGTTCTTTCATTATTTCTCCTATCCAAACACCCTTTTTTTTACTTTGTATTTCTTACCTTCAAAATTTGTTATGCACAATGGCTCTTCAGTGAATAGATGAAGTAGAATTAAGCTTAAAATGGATGAATTGCTAGATTGAACAGTCCCATAAATGTAATTTAGATCATTATAAAATGGGGGTTTATTAGTTCTAGATGGTAATTTTTGATGGCCTTGTAGAATTTTATAGTTGCTGTCTAAGGAAAGTTGGCTGCTCATGTTTGTCAACCCATATTTGGAATTACATTTATAATCAATAAGAAGATAAAGGGCATGATAAAACTTGTATCTCGAGAAATTATATGTTAAAGTGTTTTGGAATCTATAATATTTGTTTCCATTCTTTTTGCTTGAAAATTGTACATGTTTATGAAAATTTTGAATGACCTTTGTCCGGCTGTTATAATTATGTTTATTTGTTTGTTTTCATTATGTCCATTTTTCCTTGGGTCACCTCGCTCGATTGCATTTGTTTCTATTATAAGATTTTGATCCATACTTAAGCTCTTTGGCAGAAATACTGTTATCCTATGATCCCAAGTGCTCTCTTTGGTCCTAGGTGCTGCCTATTTGCGCATCTATCTATCTTCATTTTCCCAGTATTACTCACCACATTGAACTTACGACAGAACTTTTCTTATTTCAGTCTGATATGCTTTTAGCTATACACCTCCTAAAGGCTCTCTTGCCAACAGGATATACCAAGAGGAGAAAAATTGGAGTGGTCTTTCTTCTTTTTCTTTTCTTTGGTTTCCAGTCTGTAACTTGAGTTGCACTGTTAGGAACTGTGAAATGGAACAATCTTGTGCAGAAACTTGAATGTCAAAAATCATAATGATAAAACAGAAGGAAAACCGACGGTACAAGACAAAGATGTTTTCCTTCAAAATCTAATAGATTAGCTTTCTATATGATATTATTATGATTATGATTATGATTTATACAATCACAGGTAGGCTCTCTCCTTCAGGCGAGCCTCCTCTTTCCTTCTGTTTTTTTCTTCTTCTCTGTATGTTTTTATCCTTCTCCGTGTTTCGAAGCACAATTGGAGAAGAGCTTGAAAATGCAAGGGTCCTGTGGTCTTTATCTTAGACGCCAATCTCGAGATTCTTTGAGGAGAGAGACAGAGAGTGATAGGCTGAATTTGAAAAGAAGACGACTGAAAAAGGATGTCCGTATTAGGGGAGATAAACAGAAACAAAACAAAACAAAACCAACCCACAATAATAGCCAGATAGAGAGAGCCGGTGTGTGTTGTGAACAAAAAAAGAAAAAACAAAACAAGCAATACAATGCTAAGGAAACTGAAACGGCTTTTGTAGGTGTGTTTTGATTTTTGCTCTACCCTTCACAATCAGTACAGACTGATTTAAATTTATTTGTGATAACTTGTAAAATTTCGATTTTTGAAATTTAGACTTTTGAAAATTATTTTTATAAAAAAAAATTAAAATTGTAATATTGTATCTCTACTTTAAATTAGTGCATTTCTATATTATTAAAAACTGCAAAATATACTTATAACATGCAAAAATGTCAAAATTAAAAAATTTATAAAAATTATTTTAAGCAAATATTTGATGTGTTTATTTATAAACTATATAAATTTTAGTTTTATTATTTTTAATAAAATTTTATTTATTTTAATATATTTTTATTATATTAATTTTAGGTTATTAATCTTGTTAAAATATTATTAAGTTAAATTTAAATTTAATTATTTAAATAAGTTTTATTTTGTGAAGACAATAGATTAAAAGTTCTTATTATGATATATTTATATTAATTAAAATAATATTAACTTTGATATATTAATTTAAATTATTAAAATTATAATTGATTAATATAAATGATAACAATATTATTAATATTATATTAATAACAATTAATTATATATAATAAAAAAATGCTATGTTAGAGGAAGAAAATATTTTTAAAATTTAATATTTTGAAAAAATTAAATTTTTATATTAGAGAAATTAAATTTTAAATTTCATACAAATACAAAAACCGAATTTCAAATGATATATATAAGTACAATAATTAAATTTTAAACTTTATATGAGTATAAAAACTATTTGTCTAATATAATAATTAATTTCATTAATCTTAATTACTGCATAAATAAAATAACGATGTCATCAAGTAAATCAATATTATTAAATTAAACTAGTACGAAGATTTTTTGGCAAATCGATGAAAGAGACAAATTCAGAAAGTTTTTTTGGCAAAATTGAAATAATTCAACAGCCGGAAAAAATCCAACGTAAAATAAAATAAAGATTGAACTTTTGCAGATTACATATACCCTTTGGCTTTTGATGAAGAAATCATATATAATTGGGGCATATGTTATGAAGAGATCATATCTAATTGGGACATATGTTATTGTTTGCCCTCAAATAAAACAAGGCTTGAGGATTGATTTTCTCCTCAAACATTACCACCGATATTTGTTTGTCCTACTTATGACTCAACATTTGATAAGAATAATCGATATTCAGAAACATAAAACAAGTTACAAAATCAATTAAACCATTTCAAATTATTATCCAAGTTGATAAGAATAGATAACGAAAAAAGCGCATGCTACACAGGAACAAGACCTAACCCTTGCTAAACTATTTAAACACAAATCAACCAGTTTTCTGTCTGAAATTATCAGTTCCTCAGGAAACAATGAGCATTTAGGAGAATGAACTATATCAATGCACTTCAACAACACTACCTATGGTCCTGCCTATTCCTAGAAAATCAAATCTATACACGCTACTGAGTTCTAAGTACAAAGCTAGAATGAGGCAATGCCGAAACTATATGTGGCTACTGTGGAAACTATGTTCTCTGGCTATTGGCAATAGGCCACTGTATTTAAAAGCAATTGCTTCCAAAATTTAAAGATGTGCCCTCCGGAGAAGCAACCTCAGTTTTATCGGAGTTAAGATTGACATTGGACTGTGATTTATCACCTGATGCTGCATCATTCTGTTTGGTTTCATTTTTCTTTGAATTGAGAAACCGACCCCCAGATCCTCTGGCTCGTTTCAATGCATGCAAATGACGGGATTCATGCAAGTATGGCTGCATATTCATTGCAGTGGCAACTAACGAGTCAATTCTGCAAAACTAGATGCAAAACATTCGAATTGAAAAATAATCATAAAACCAAGAAAGTTAACATACTTTACGAGGCTTGACAATTTTATTCTCTGATTCAGCTTTTGCACGAGATTGTCGCCGTCGCATTATGCCATGATATTGTTTTGCATTAACAAATACAGGTTCCTCAATGGCATCTGACGGCAAAGGAACTCCAGCTTGCTGAATACCCATCAACTGAAGATGGACCTAAAACAAAAGCAAAAATAAGTCAACTTCAGTCTTAAAACCATAATTACAACTGTATAATAAAAATAGGGTCAACACACAGCACAAAAAAGAGTACTATACCATAGGTTGACCATCATAAGGCTGTGGCGGATATGGTTGAGCATCATAGGGAGCAAAGATGCTTCTATAATAGGGATCTGGATAGGGGTAAGAAACTGGTGCCTTCAGTTTCATAAGCCAAGGAAACAAATAAATGTATTAGAATCCTTAACAAATTTTTATACTTATCTTGGTCAAAGATTAGCAACTGTTGCAGTTATACAACTTTCAGCAAGATCTAACATTTTGTACAACGTAAAACCTTTTAAAACACAGGTTCAAAACAACACCAATCTAAAATTCTTTTATAGAAACAAGAAGAAGAGCAAAATCAAAGACAATCATGAGAAGCATAAAACAGTACCACAAGCTTCAAAAGGCACACAGCACAGCAAGTTTTATTTAGTAATTTTATTTAGAGTCAACTGCTTTTTGAAAGTGAATATGCAACTGCACCAACAATGTACATGTTCTTTCACCAGAGATGTTTTCTATCAAAAGTCTTAGATTAAATTAGCTGCATAAGAAATAAACACAACATTTCTCAACCATTCTTATCCAACGAGGATTTGGTTCAATTGTAGGATGGGTTGAGGCCCTAGGAGGTCCAAGTTTGAATCTCTCTACCTAGTGTGAGTGACTGCAGTCTTAAATATAAAGTGGGGAAGGGGGCATTTTAGCTTTTTTGAGCTAAATGTCTGCTGACAATTTAATAAATTACAGAGCTGAATGTTCCCCAATGTACCATAGACATTTCATCTTTCAAAACAAAAACAAAACAATCAATACCATTAACAGAAAGGTACGTTATTATTAGAAAACAAAATTCATAAGTTACAAGATCTCAAAAAAAACGCAAAGTAATTCTTGAGTTACCAGGAAAAGCAATGTCAGGAGTATAACCAAGTCTATTGACCTCATTAACTATAACCAAGCAAAGTATTTTGGTCCTTATATTGGGATATTCTACCCCGGTCAAAGATGCTATTTATGCGCACTACTTAGAACTAGCCAAAACCTTAAATACCAGGATGCAGACAGCTACAGATGAATGTGCCATCATTAAGTGCAATGCAACAATACAAGTAACACAGTATCAAATTATATAGTTGATTAAACATCACAGAAATGTATAATCAGAATTTTTTACAAAAAAAAAAATTTAAAAGGGAAAACCCAGTAAACACTTGTTCTCCAGAAACTAAATCTCTAAAGTTAGCAATCTTCAAGTTAATAAATGGTATTACCATCACCCCTTAACAGACAGAAAACAGCAGCATCTCAAAAGCATTCTTGTATTCCAAAAATTTCCATACAACTGGAAATAAAATTTTATTCAGCACACAGATGCTTACTTTTTCTATCACAAAGACTTGGTTGCAAATAAAACTCACCAAGCCTAGGAGGTAAAATTGCTCCCACTGATGCCTCCAACAACCAGACAATTTTAATGTATATTGCAAAACAAAATAAATACAAGAAAATTCAATCTGACTCCACCTTGAAACAAGTAGACAAGATCCCCAACTAATTTAGCAGAGCACAATGACTGGCATTTTAATCTCCTAGTTCCTGGCAAAGAAATCGTCTACTGATGCCTTTGAATATTTAAATCAAATATGGAAGACCATTGACAAAGTTTAGCAAATGCAAAAAGACTCAATAAAAGCATATAACTCCCAAATGCACCTCCCCCTCCTTTTCCTTTACATTGGTGGGAGGAAGCAGGCAGTGTTGGGATAATTAGAACTGCTATTATATCCACATACACACATTTGTTACATTGCAAAATGACGCTCCCGAAATTCACCAAATCTTAACTGCATAACCCTCGACTAAAATGCTCACAGACACGTTGCATTCTCACAATCAACTTCCACATCCAGCTCACTGAATCCCAGAACATCAAGAACTTTAAAAAATTCTAATTACTTGTCCAAACAGCGTGAAATAAAGTCTGTATCTTCATATTTAGCAGTTTAAACTGCAGACAGCACTAGCAATTCTCTAAATCCACCAGGATCATTTCTATATTTAACTAAGATTCTCCACTATACCTTTTTGACCAGTGCATTTATGTTTTTTCCTTACTTTTCCCACTGCAACATATGAAAATTTAGTTGCTTAACAGGAGAGAAGACTTGTGCATTGACAATGTCACCATCTTAACAACTTCATCAGCTCAACAGTCTACCAAATTTTATTCAGTAAACATTTCTTTTTGAAATATTCTTTCACAAACATCATAAAATAACGTGTTTGTAGTTCTCAAGTATAAGGATCCAATTATAACATGTTATGAGAGAGTGCCACCTGGGTGGACTTTCATGAAACTAGAAAAGAAAATTTTGATTTAGGAATCAAGAGATTTTTTGAACAAATCATTCGAAGCAGTGGATGTAGTCAGACCAAATTAAATAATAAAAGATTTTCATATTATATTTTATGTATTGGTCTAAACGCATATACATATATGGCCAGGTTAGACGTCAATGTGTTATAACTAAGTATTTCCGTCCTGCATCGACTGGTAACTGTGAATCATGGAACAAACGAGAGCAAGGAATTACATTTTCTGGCAGAATATATTGTAAGCTACTTTTCAAATGTATGTAGAAAATAACTCCTGAATCAAATACCTTGAAGAAGGCATTGTGATGAAGGAGGAGGACGTAAGGGAAGAGTAGAGGTTGCGAGAAGTTTCTCTTCAATTAAATGATTGGCTAAAATAAAAAATAAAGTAATAACATTGTGAAATAATTTTCAAAGAAGATGATTGAAGTGGTTGAGCAAATTTTAAAACGTATGCAGGGCCAAGAAATTTAAATGACACTTAGATGACAGCTAATTGATCACAACAAGTTTAGGACAATAGTTAGTGCTTCAGACATGACCTAGTTTCAATACAATGACCAGTGTAAACTACCTTCAAAGAGAAAGTAAAAATGAAAATAAATATTACTGCTGAAAAAGATTTTACTCTGAAGATGGTACCACAGCATGTTGAGGTGTTGTGTATGCGATGTTTGGGGTTGTGACAGCAGAGGGAGAAAGTCCTGCTGCAGGAGATGAGGACTGGTCCTGGGACTCGGAGTGTTTTTGCTGCTCATCAACTTCATTATTATCTGGCAAAAAATAAATCAGTTAAAACCAACACATACTGAGAGAACACTCCAAATCAAGAGCAGCCACCAAACAATGTCAATAAAATGAAAGCACTCAGACAACTAAGATAGAAAGCAGTGCAGGCATCAATGGTGACAAGTAAAATAAAACAATGCTGCCTACAAAACCCAACAAATGGCCCAGTATTGTATGCATATAACACAGCAACCCAAGGAGCCATCCTGATAAATGTGATAACAATCAGGAAATGCCTGATAGAAAGCAGTTAATTCAAATTTCAAAATGAAGAGCAATCCCAGAACAAGGTCAATAAAAATGAAAGCACAGAGCCAAATAAGATAGAAACCGTCCAGGCACAAATAGTGACAATCTAAAAAAATACACACTAAACGACCCAGTATGTGTCCTTATAACACAGGGAAAACCCTCACAAGAAGATACCACAATAAGAGAAATAACAATGAGGAAATACACAGGAATTCAACAAACTAGAACTGAAAAGATCCTTTCAATCTCATTATTTAAATACCAATTAAACACCAGAAAATAAAAAATTAAAAAAAATAAAAAAAAGAAAATTCAAAATTTAAAAAGGCCACAAACATATTCAAATTTTTATCTATTCACAGAGTTCAGAAGAACATGATTAAGTGGTACCATAAAACATAAAGTTGACGAAGCATTTAACAAGAAATACCAGAAAGATCATGCACAGAGGAAGTCATGAGGCTGTTGTGAACAGAGGATCTGCAAACTCAAATCTGGCAACACAACCATCAGAATCAAGGTCAGGGCAGCATAAAGAATCAGAGCACTATCATAAAACCAGGAGAGCTAGAATTTATGTTAAATCTATTTAGATTTAAATCAAAGTCTATATTGGTATATATTTTAGGGAGCTTCTCTTGACATCTTTTAGATTCAAAACAATTTTCACAAAATTTTGGCAATCGAAGGTTCTTACAAATTACAGCATGCCATGCAAAAGGTATGAGCTTGCTCAGACAGCATAACTATACCAATAAATGTAAATAGTCAATTAGGCTTTGTTTAATTGTTACTTTTACTATTTGTATTTTGCTTCTTCAAAAGTTACCGAAAAGTGTGGTAAAAAACATTACTGAAACGAAAAAGAAAATTCATAATTGATTAAAAATGAAAAAATAAAAAAAAAATCAACATAATTGCTCTCTATTAAAGTAAAATCATGTATTTATCCAAAAAATTGCATTCTTAAGTTTAGATTCTTCTAAAAGATTTATTTGCTTTTGCATCCAAACACTTTTTTTTTACCTTTTACTTCCAAAGGAAAAAAATTAGCAAAACTAACAATCAAACAGTACCTTAGCAAATATATAAATTATACAAAGCATAACTGCAAATACAAGTCAAATAAACAAAAATTTCTAGACTACACAATTCAAACGTCCCCTGGAAACTGAGTTAATGTTTCATTATAATTATTAATTCCCCATTTTGTCTAGAACAATAATAAGATACAATATCTTCTGTGCAAAATGAGTTTACAAATTCAAAAAGATCAAAAAATTATGGGAAAGTTTGTAAGTAAAGTGAAGCTTCTTTTTATTTTCCTGTTGTTTTGCCATGATCTAGAGATTCATTTCTTTTAGAACAATATCAACTTCAATTTAGATTACTCTCAATTGACTGAATAAAAAAGTGGCCTAGGAAATTTTCCCTCTCAATAATTCCCTTCCATACTTTTAGCCCATCCTCTTTGTCTTGCTCACTGCCCACAAATCAGTTATTAACTCACACTATCTTCTCTCAGAAGTTTGACCAATAGAATACTCACCCATCAATATATATATACACACACACACACATATCAATTCTGAATATATCACCCATGATTTTCTTATTCTTTTCTTATTAAATCTGAATTCTATTTCGTAAAAAACAAAAACTAGTTCAACGAACAACATAAAAAAAGAATAAGAAAATCAAATAAATTCAACAGTAGAAAATTCATCAATACAGTTCAATGAGCTAAATTAACTCATGCAAAACAAAATCAACTCAATTAAAAAACCCATGCGAGCCCAGAAACAAAAAAAAAAAAAAAAGGGCTCAAATTGGGGAAATTTAAAAAGGAATTATTCATTCACTTAATATTCTTTACGGAAAATTGAAAAAAGAAAACCTGAAAAACATAAAAGAAGCGGAAAATGCTCAAATTCACAGCTTTTTTCTCACACTTTCTCAACATCCAAACATAGCAGGAAATTGAGGTAGAGAAAGAGAAAAACATTTCTATATAATTCTCCTTTGCTCGATTGTTAAAATATTAATTTGAGAAAAGCAAACTAGGGTTTACCGAGAATCGAAATTTACCTTAAATAGAGAAAGTGACTAAAAATTCTGTGCTGCAGAGGTGTGTTTTACGTTTCTTCTGTTGTGCGAAGGTGAAATTATAATAAATCTCTGCTGTCTGTGTTTGGAAACTGAGAAAAATGAATTTAAGAGAGCACTACCAAAACGAAAATTGTTGTTTCACTATAAAAAATGAGTTAAGCAGAACACATGATGACTATTATGGACGTGCACACACGTTATAGAAAAGTCTTGTTGGCTTTGGTTAAATTTCAACCAATAGAGCTACGGGCAGCGAGGGTTCTGACCCGAGAAAGATGAATAAATCTGGGCCAAGGAATACGTGGGAACCACCGGGTGTGTGGTTGGGATTGAAGGTGACCGCTGACCGTCAATGGCTTTAGTTAATGTTGGAGAACGGATCAGCTACACGTGGATCCAGGGAAAGAGATCGTTTAATTGATTCTGTAGCGCTTTCGTCCGTAACGACATCTACTTCCACACTACAGATAAAAAAAATCCCCAAGGATTTCATGCCGATAAGTGTCATTTTCTTAGTTTTTGTTTAATTTTTTAATTTAACAACACCTTAAAAAAAACATAAGAAAAATTTTATATCCATTCTATACTACTATTCCATATTTCATAGATGAAAAAATCCCCTAAGAATTACGCCGACAAGTGTATTTTTTAATTTTAATTTAATTTTTAATTTAACAACACTTTAAAAAACATAAAAAAATATTTATATCTATATTATCTATATTAATTTCCTTTTTTATTCTTATATTATAATTTCTTTTATAAAAAATAATCATAAGGAATTAGGGAAGCAACATGTGTTTATTTTATTTTATGGGTTTGTTGGGTTTTGGGTATGTTCATTTATGCAATATTATCAAAGAATATGGAGTCAAATCGTGTGTTTAGTATTTTATATCTGACTCGAGTAGCTCGCGAGCTAATCGAGCTTTTATATTTAAATATATTTTTATTATTTTAATTAATAAAATATTTCGAGTCCGAGTTCGAGTTCAAATTCGAGCATGAATAATCGAACTTTTGTCGAATATACGAATCGAGCTTATTTTTACATATTAATCGAGCTTAATCGAGCAAGCTCGAGTAGTTCGAATTCGATCACGAATCGAGCTCGAGCTTGAACAATAAAACTCGATCGAGCTCGAACCGAGTATCGAGCCTCGAGTTGTGAGTTGAGCTCGAGCTCGAGCTTCTCACTATTCGGCTTGGCTCGACTCGTTTACACCCCTAGTTTTGGGTATGAGATGTAGGCTTGTATGTTTATAAAAGTTGGGTTGTATATTTGTAGTTTATATTTAATATATTGTTAATGTATAAATTTTATATATTATCAATAAAATCGTATAATGTTATTTTATTAATAAAATATATTAAATGATATCATCTTATTAATGAATAAATTTTTTAAAAAAAAGATAATTTTTTGCATATTTGTTTTAAAAGTTGATAAATATTTATTAATAAAATGTTATCATTTGATTCATTGATAATGTATCAAATATAAATTGATATATTAAGGTCATATTTGATACATAAGATTATGATAAGATATGATAAGATGATATTATGAATAGAATTAGATCAAATAATATTATCTTATCTTATATTTAATGTGTATAAAGATTAAGATAGGATGATTTATTTATTGATCAAAATTATCTTTTCTTAAAGTTTATACAATTTAAATTATTGATATAATTTTTAAGGATAAAATAAGATATGTAAGTTTAATCTCATGGATTAAAAATAATCATTTCCACTTTGATTAGAAGGATTGAATCATTCTATACCAAGAGGATAATAATTCTCTTTGTAATCATATCCTTTTCAATTAGATACAAACTAAATATAATATAAAATTATTATTATACTATTTTTTCAATCATCTTATGCACCAAATATTACCTAAATTGATTAGGTGAATATTTAGATTGATTTTTGTTGAATTTGAAAGATAAATAAGTTGTGATTTTATTTGTTAGATTTGATTTTAAAAAAGATAACTATTTTAAAATTTTTTGTTAGATTAAGATAATTTTCTAAAAAAAATAATGTTGGCAAAGGTTGGATTCTTTTTAAATAAATACATCCAAAGGCATATCTTTAACCCATTTTATTTAAACAATTCCAATCCAAAATATAAGTAGTTTTATTTTATTTTATTTTTTTACAAATATTTTCACTCTTTAGGTATACATTTTTAAACTTTTATTTACATATATTTTATTTTACATATTACTTTAAATAATAAAATGTTAGGAACATTTGATGGTTAAAAGGGTATAGTGATCTTTTTTCATGTCAGAAGCCTTCAGCAGATAGCCAAGGATAATTCTGTTATTTGTGCCAACCTGACATGTCAGGTTGGTCTGATACGTCCAATACTACATCAGCTCGGCATTGTCTTTATTGTCCTAAATGCTTTCCTATTGCTTATCTATAAATATGAAGGTCCAGACACCATTAGAAGAGGTCCAGACTACTCTTATTTTTTCTTATAACTCATTTCGATCTAATTTGTTCTAATTTATACGTCGAAGTGCAAACGCAAAGAACACCCCTTACCTTTGTCTTTAACCGTCATTCTCTTTTATCTTTCTAGAATCTGACTCTAAGATCGGAGCTCAACATAAATATTTGACATGCTAAGTAAGGGACATTTTCATTCATTAGTCGAGCATGAAATAATGCTACCAAGGAAGAAAACCTTAGAGAAAATAGATGACTATTTCGGCTGAAACAGAAACATACAACAGCCAGCACTCAAAATAACCTCCTCTACCATAGACAGGCCCAACTATGGAATAATTTCAGGCCTTGATCAAGTAGATACAGACCCTTAAACAAATGTTGTAAACTATAACTCCCACCACAAGTTTAAAAGGTGCTCATCCTTATCACCCTTGGTCAAGGAACTGCGATAAGACAACCAAGCCATGGAGAGCTGGAAGCCTCTTTGGCCTTCAGAGAAAAGGAACATAACACTCCAGTTTGCCATTACTCTAATCACAATTCAACAAATACAATAACCCAAAAATCTAAAGAGACAAACCCTAAACCCTAACCAAACAAGGACTTGGAAACTTGGATACAGGCCATAAAGAAAGCTAAAAACAAAAACAATAACATTTGAAAGATGAGTTTAAGTTCCAAAAGACCTCACCTTTCACTGAAGAAATCGATAAAGTCATACCTCCTAAGGGGTTCAAAATGCCAAACTTGGAGACTTACGATGGTATATCTGACCTTTTTGATCATTTAAAACTTTATAAGACTAAAATGATGATGTAATGTGTATATGAAGCCTTGATATGCAAAAGCCTAGCTACCACTCTGAAAGGCGTAACTTGATCGTCATACAACAGTCTGGAATTAAGGTCAATTACAACATTCAAAGATCTTAGCCATTGTTTCTTATCTTGATTTGTAAGTAGCTGAAAAGTAAAAAAGACAACTCTGAGTTTGATGTCAATACATCAAGGTTATGGTGAATCATTGAAGAGCTATATCACGCGTTTTAATGTATAGACTCTACAAGTTAAAGACCTAAAACAAACAGCCACTGTGGTTGCCTTAACAAATGGACTCAACGACAAAGAGTACCACCTGAAGCTAACATTGTTGTTTGAACCATTTAAAAATTTGGTCGATGTTTTACTGATAGCTGAAAAATATATAAATACCAAAGCTATAATAAAGAATAACTAAGGTGAGAGAGGCTCATCTTTCTTCTTTGGTCATAAAAAAGGTAAAGATTTCTACGATCTTTCTCTAATAGAAAGATGACATGAGGCCAAAAACTTCGATGGAGAAAAAAACTACACTACATTAAAACCTTCTGAAATAGAATTTGGATGAAAATTAAAAGAAACCCTAACCTCATATGGGCAAAGCCACTGAGATAAAACATAAGAATGGACTCGACCAAAAGATATGCCATTCATAGTGATATAGGTCATAATACAGAAGATTGTGTCAACTTAAAAAATAATATCTAAGTCTTGGTAAAAGAGGTCAGTTGAGAAGGTTTGTAGAGCAATGAAGATAAGGTCAACTTAGAATAAACTACAGATAAGACCAAAAAAAGTTCACCCAAAACAAAAAAAAAGGTCAAAAAATGAAAAAAAAAGTTTGAAAAGATGAGCCAATTCAAGAAAAGGTCTAAACTAATAACAATAGGCCAATCGTTAGGGTGATTAATATGATCATTGAAGGTGCTCCATTTCAACCAAAAAAAAGTTTAATCCAGATATGGTTATAGTAGTAGGCACTTCAACAAAAAGAGAAAAAGATTAGAAAGATGAACCGATCACATTCAGCTTGAAAGATCTTGAAAGAATCCAGTACCCATATAATGATGCTATAGTAATCATGATTGTAGTGTATAACTATGTACTAAAAAAATCATGTTTGATAATGGGAGCCCGATTGATGTCATGTAATATAGCACTATGAAAAAGATAAAAATTGATGAAGATCAGTTATAATTGATCACCATAACATTAGTAAGATTTGAAAAAGAGTAGGTATAGATGAAAAAAACCATAAAACTATCGATCTCTTTGGGGATAGAATCAAATACTATCATTTCAGTCATAGAAATTATGATTGTCAATGTCTCATCAGCCTACAACATGATATTAGGTCATAAAATTTATGATTGTCAATGTCCCATCAGCTTACAGTATGATATTAGGCCAATTGAGGTCATGTAATATAACACTATGAAGAATATGGAAATTGATGAAAATCAATTGCACTCGATCACCATAACATTAGTAGGATTTAGAAAAGAATAGGTACCGATGAAAGAGACCATCAAGCTGTCGATCTCCTTAGGGATAAAATAAAAAACTATCATTTTAGTCATAGAATTATGATTGTCAATGTCCCATCAGCTTACAACATGATATTAGTCAACTTGTTATGCAGCTCATAGGCTTAACTCTCTATCTGAAAGTGAAATTCTCAGCATCTAATGGAGTTGGAGAGGTCAGAATAGACTAGTCTATGGTATGATAGTATTATGTCAAAATAATGAAATGAAATACTGAGAAGCATATTGAAAATTCAACCAAGAATAAAAACACTGAAGAAGGGCAAACAGTTGAGGCCGACAAGAAATAGAAAGTCACAAATAAGAATATAGAATGTAAGACTGACTTGATAGAAGTGTGCTCTTAAGTCACTTC